AAGAAATGATAAAAATAGAAGTTACTCCCTCCGTCCCATAAAAAACCAACTTAGTACGGGATGTAACACATCCTAGTACAATGAATCTAGATATACATTTGTCCAGATTCGTTGTCTAGAATATGTCACATCCAGTACTAGATTTGTTTTTTTGGGATAGAGGGAGTATAAATCTTGATGAGTTATACAACTTTGTTGTTCATGACTTTTTCAGTTGAAATCATTTAGTATTTCAAAATGTTGTTTGAAGTTCTCATATTTTGAAATTCAAATTCAAACTATTCAAATAAAGTCATATAGAAAAATGGCCAAAAGAAAAGTTATATATCTTGATGAGTTATACAACTTTGTTGTTGACAAATTTTCCATTTGAAATCATTTACTATCCAAATAATTATTTGAATTTCTTGTATTATAAAATTCAAATTTTATATAGTCCAATCAAACTCGGATGGAGAAATGACCAAAAGAAAATTGGTAAATCTCAATGAGTTCTACAACTTTGTTTTTGGTAACTTTTTTATATGAGTTTATTTAATATCATAAAATTTAATTCGAAGTTCTCATATTTTTAAATTAATTTTTATTGACTATTTTCACATGCAGTCCACTAAAGGAGCCACATGCAAAAAATCTATTTTCGCACGCGGACCCTTTAAGTGGTCCGCATGCAAAAATATCACCCCAATTTTTTCATCTCCCTCCACTCTCTTTTCCCTCCCACCACTTCAATTTTTTTCCAACTCATCTCCTCTCTCTCCCCCTCTATTTTTTACCCTCCCTTCTCTCTCTCCTCTCCTATCTTTCTTTTCTTCTGTCATCTCCCTCTCCCTCTCCGAGAGCGCAGGTCGGGTGGCGATGGTGTCTGCGTGTGGCGGATCCAGCGGCGCTGCCCTCGGGAGGGCCGGATCCGCCGCCCTAGGGAGCGGCTGCGGCTATGGCGACGGCCGGCGCGCAGCAGGGTCGGCGGATCCAGCGAGTAGGCAGCGTTAGCGACCTAGCTCGGAACTTCCTCGACGGCGGCAGATCCGGCGAGTGGGCAGCCTCGACGACCTCGGGTCTTCCACGACGGCGGCAGGAGCGGGCGGCGACACGAGCGGTGGGCCTCCTCCCGCCCGGATTTGGCGGCGGGAACGGTCGGCGACCTTGGGCCTTCCACGACGGCGGCGGGAATGGTCGGCGCCTTCCACGACGGCGGCGATGCGGCGGCGACGCGAGCGGTTAGCCTCCTCTTGCCCGGATCTGGCGGCGGGAGCGGTCCTTGGGCCTTCCACAACAGCGGCGGGAGCGGTCGGCGGCGATGTGGGCGGTGGGCCTCCTCCCGCCCGGATCTAGCGGCGGGAGCGGTCGGTGGTGACGCGGTCGGCGGCGGGCCTTGTCCCGCCCGGATCTGGAGGCGGGAGCGGGGGCGGCCGGCGGCGGGAGCGGGCAGTGGCGGAAGCGGGGGCAGGTGGCAGCGGGAGAGGGACCGGCCGGCGAGCTCGGGCGACGATGCCGCTGCCTGCGGCTAGGGTTTCCTTTCTTTGGAATTTTATTTTTTTTCCCGATTTTTTCTCTTTGCATGCGGTCGACTTAAGCGCTCGCATGTGAAAATCGGATTTTCGCATGCGGTTGCCCTGGCCACATGCGCAGATCGTGATCTTTACAGACGATTTCACGCATGCGGTCTGGCCAACCGCATGCGAAAATCTTTTTCGCCCGCATGGAAAGACCTCTTCTGTAGTAGTGGTTTATGCACATCGCCATGCCATTTGACCTTGTCCGTTATTATATGGCTCTTGCTTGTGAGTGTGTAATGGACCAATGGCTACTCTGTCAGATGAACCACCATACTCGCGACGCCATCAATGTGGAAACAATGGCCATAACCACTGCACAAACAAATATTAACTCTCCGTTTAGAAAAGACGGTATTAAATCGATGCATATGGCTGCGTGGGGCTCCGATGCTCCATCCTGATCAGTAATATCCGAACTTTTAGTAGAAGATACATATGGAGATACATAAACTATACGACGTGGCACACGCTTCTGCTGTCCCACCTCCAGCCCCCCGGACGCCTGGTTGCCTGGCGCTCTAACTTCTTCACCATTGATTAATTTGATAATCCCATCATTAAATTCTTCTTTACCTTCAGCGTAGATCCACCCAAAAAGATCGAGAGATCGATCTGCTCGCGTACGGCCGGCAGCCACGATTTACTACGAGTGTCTCCTGCACAAGCGGCTCCCTGTACTTGGCCCTGCCATTCCAGTACTCACCAAGCAGACACGTCGCCCTTATTATGTACTCCTAGGAGTACCACCAGTAGGTTACTGCAGTTTTCGATTAAGTCTTTGAAGTATACACATTTAAAGTATTAAAAGTAGACTAATAATAAAATAAATTACAGATTCCGCCTGTAAACTGTGAGATAAATTTATTAAGTCTAATTAATTTGTTATTAGCAAATGTTTAATGTAGCATCACATTGTCAAATCATGACGTAATTAGGCTCAAAATATTCGTCTCGCAATTTACATGTAAACTGTGCAATTGTTTTTCCCCACATTTATTGTCCCATGCATGTGTCTAAACATTTGATGTGATTTTTTTACCAAAATTTTAGCCTTGTTTAGTTCCCAAATTTTTTTCCCAAAAACGTCAATCGAATCTTTAAATACATGCATGGAGCATTAAATATAGATTAAAAAACTAATTGCACAGTTTGAATGGAAATCGTGAGATGAATCTTTTGAACCTAATTAGTCCACGATTAGCCATAAGTGCTACAGTAACCTACATATGCTAATGATGGATTAATTAGGCTTAATAAATTCGTCTCATGTTTTTCAGGCGAGTTATGAAATTAGTTTTTTCATTCGTGCCCGAAAACCCCTTTCGATATCTGGTCAAATGTCCGATGTGACACCCAAAAATTTTCTTTTCGCGAACTAAGGGCCTGTTTAGTTCGCGAAAAGAAAATTTTTGGATATCACATCGGATGTTTAACCGGATGTCGGAAGAGGTTTTTAGACACGAATGAAAAAACTAATTTCATAACTCGTCTGGAAACCGCGAGACGAATCTTTTGAGCCTAATTAATCCGTCATTAGCATGTGGGTTACTATAGCACTTACTAATTAGGCTCAAAAGATTTGTATCGTGATTTCCCTCTTAACTGTGTAATTAGTTTTTTTAATATATATGTAATGCTCCATGCATGTGTTTAAAGATTCGATGTGATGTTTTTGGAAAAAATATTTTGGGAAATAAACCAGACTTAAACACACCCTAACATTGTGCTAGCACCATCCTAGTTGGAACCTAGCGGTAGATCTGCGAGACCGCATCAGCGACTAATTCAGGCGCATGTAGGTTTGGTGTCACACGGTGTGGGCACAAACAAATGGCGATCACGAGCGTTGGAACGGTGGCCAGCCCGGCCGGCCGCGTGCACCAGCTTCTTCTTCTTCTTGCCTTCCTCCGCGCGCGCGCGCCGCATGTGAGTCCGGCCCTTTTGGCGCCTTGCCGGCCTCGCGTATTTTTCCCCCGCTCGGGCGGTTTGACCTGTCCCGACGGGTCACCGCTCGTGTAACTGCCGTCACCTGCCGTAATGCATTTGCCTGCCACACCGCATCTACTGTCAGAATTCAGAAAGAAGAGTATACTACTGCTGCTCGTGTGCATGTGCGTGTGTGCAGTTTTACCGAATTTGCATGGGAGCGAGCTTGTAGGAGTAGCGAGCTGCGTGGTCCATCGCACGGCAGATGGCTAGGGCCACAATTACTAGCTCAGCATCACAATTCACAAACTTATTACAATGCGTATGCTACGGTTCTTGTCTAAAAGAAGACAATACATTATGCGTATACTATACTTTAAATCGGACAAGAGCAACGTATTCTGCCGATCGACCTGTCACATCCGCGGCGCCCTGAGTGGCGGTGTGCGCGCCGGTGCGCCAACGCCAGCGTCGCCACTTGCCAACTGGTCGGGCACGGATAGAGCTAGCTCAGTTCGTTTGTCTAGGTTCCCAACCTCTCCTCCTCGATTTTCACGCGCACGTTTTTTAAACTGTTATTTTGATGTGTTTTTTAAGTTTCTACACGGAAATTGTTTAAAAAAATCATATTATTCTATTTTTTAAAAAAAATTAGCTAATACTTAATTAATCACGTGCTAATGGATCACTTTGTTTTCCGTGCAAGAGGCAAGCGTTCCGAACCTGCTCTCTCGAACGCAGGCCATTCCCAACCCAATATACTAGACATAGTTTTCATAAACTCCACATCATCAAGAAACTAGTACTAGACACTACTCTTCTAATGCAAACACTACTATTCTATACTTAAATTTAATGCTACTTATCTCACATGATGTCTTGGATATTGTGTAGAAATCATGTCTCATGTAAGACATGGTTTCCTTCTCTTTTCTCATTTATTCACTTGTCACATCATTTTTCATACTAGGTGACAGCTTATTTAATACTATGGACATCATCCTAGTCATTGGGTTGGGAATGGCGTTAGTAGCAGCTGGTGCAGCAGAAGCAGAGAGCTCCTAGCAGTTACTATACGTTAATTGTACACAACGCTCCTAGCAGTTACTATACGTTACTACTCCCTCCGTCTCATAATATAAGGGATTTTCAGTTTTTGTTTGCAATGTTTGACCACTCGTCTTATTCAAATAATTTGTGCAAATATAAAAAACGAAAAGTTGTACTTAAAGTACTTTGCATAATAAAGTAAGTCACAAAGAAAATAAATAATAATTCTAAATTTTTTTAAATAAGACGAATGGTTAAACAGTACAAGAAAAACTCAAAATCCTTTATATTATGGGACGAGTATATCTTGCATGGTGCACGTTACCGATCGTGCAGGGAAATGGAGATGCGAGCTCGGCCGGAGTAAATTGAACGGCAGCTACATTCCAGTAGATTCAGAGAATTTCTTACTCTGCTTTTATTCCCGTGCCAGTGCTCTCCTATATATTTTGGCGCTTCTGCGCGCGCCTCCTTATCTCTCTCTCTCTCTCCTTCGGCTCATTCGTCACTGTTCCACCGCCGGCTTCGCCAGTTGCCTGGCCGTGTCCGGCCACTCCCAGGAGGAGGAGGAGGACAATGGCGGATGCTTGGGCGGCGTCCCCTCCATCTCCTACGGCTCCTTCGCCTTTCGCCGCGGACGACCTCGTCGACGCGCGGCTCGCGCCGTGGCCGCCGTTCGCTCCGTGGCCGGCGCCCGGGCAGCTCCACCACAACCGCCGCGGCGGCGGGCACCCGAACCCGCTCTTCACCATCCTGCCGGCCTCGGCGCTGGCAATAGGGGTCGTGCTGCTTGTCGCCGTGGTCGTCATCCTGGTGATGACGCGTCGGTGGAAGCCCGGGACGGTGGACGGCGCCGGCGGCGCCAGCTGCAACGGCGACAAGCCTGGCGGCGCCCCCGCGTCCAGCTGCGGCAGCAGCGTCCGCGGCTACAACAACTCCAGGTACTACGCCGCCGCCGCCGCCGGTAAGTGTGCCCAGCAAACCAACCAACGCATCGTTACATTTACACTGATCGCGAGAAGCCGCTCTCACCATGTCGAATACTCGAAATGCAGGGTGCATATATGGCGGAAGGCTGGGTTTCTCGGTGCAGCCGCGGAACCGCGGCGCGCAAGTGTTCACGTACCGGGAGCTGGAGAGCGCGACGGACGGGTTCAGCGAGTGCAACGTGGTGGGCCGCGGCGCGTACGGCGTGGTCTTCCGCGGCCGGCTCGGCGACGGCACCACGGCCGCCATCAAGCGGCTCAAGATGGACGGCCGGCGCGAGGGCGAGCGCGAGTTCCGCATCGAGGTAAGCCGCACCAGCCATAGCTTCACCAGCATCACGTTCTATCTACCTCCGTCCCAAAATATAGCTATTTCTAGCACAGTACTTTATTTCAAAATAAAGCTATTTTTCTACCTACCTTCTGCTCTCAACCAATCACAACCATTACCTACTTTCTCTTTTCAACCAATCACACACCTTTTTCAATTATTATCACCTACTTTTTTAATACCCGTGCCAACCTTAAAAATACTTACATTTTGGGACGGAGGAAGTATCCGGTATCCCCATCAACGCACGTCTCGTACATGTGCACGTACCGCGTACGGCCGCCGCTTTTGTCTCTTCAATTCGTATACCAACCGTAGCTACCTGTATGCAGCTGCACAACACACCAGCAGCAGATCAGAGCGGGTGGGTAGTTTCCGAATGGTTGTTAACGCTGCTGTTGCCGGCTTGTCTGCGATCCCTAGATGGTTCATGGCTGGGGCAAGCAAACAGGTTGTTCGTGTGTGTGTGCCTGTGTGTCATGCGTAGCGTACGTACGAGACCTGGAAACGTAAACAGGCGCTCCTGCCGGCCTGCCTGCCCGTCCACCCGGTTGCTTAAGTCAGTCGTGCACCAGCGCCATCAGTACTGGTGGTTCACTGGACGCTAGCGCCTTTTCGCGACAGTGCCTACCCTCTTGGTCGCTTGTGACAGACTGTTGGTGCTGTCTTGTGCCCGGGGGGATGAAGACGGAACGCATGAGCCGAGGCCGCACAGCGGCGCGGGATATTCGGCTGGCTAAGCTTTGGCGTGTCATGCGCAACTTGCCGCGGCACGCCGCGCGGTTCTCGTTCGTTGCGGCGTGAGTCGTTTGCCCTCGCCTTTCGGGCTGTGGCTGTCCTTTGCTCCGCCCAGTGGCTGGCTTTCCGCTACAGTTTTGCGGGTGTTTGGCTCATCAGCTAGGCACACCAGGTCGCTAATGCATTCTAGGATGCTTCGACTCATTGACACATAAATTCACACTGTACACGCTATGGTACTGTACTACTATCACGCGAGCCTAATCTAGGGATAGCGCCCTCTCGCAAGTCCGGATGGGACAGTTTTGCTTTTGTCATGGGCCAACCATTTTTGGACTGACATTTTGGATTTATGGCCGAGCAGATGGGCGTTGCTATTACTGATCAGGTAGGTATCTTTTGTTACTGCTTCAATTTTTTCTTCAAACTTTTTCATCACATCAAAACTTTTCTACACATGTAAACTTTTTTAATTTTTCCGTCACATCGTTTCAATTTTAACTAAACTTTTAATTTTAACGTGAACTAAACACACCCTGTGAGAGGCCTATTAACTTACTTTCGAGAAACCGAGCATCATGGGTGCATGACACATTGACACTGCACTACATGTCCTCGGCACGGACGACCGATGTCGTTGTGCGGTTAAGTTTAACGGGTGATGTCTTTAAAGTGTTGGGGCTGGGGTACCGTATGTCTCTCGCTGCAGCCTGCTACTGCCTGCAGCGACGTTGTATATACAGATCGAATCGAATTGAGAGGCAGACAGTACTCACGAGATGCGTGTGGCCGTGTGGGCTTTCCCTGCCGGCCTGGCCGATTGACGAAGCCGAGGATCCATCCGTCACGCCATTTAAGAACCTGACCGGTCTCACAGCTGCGCAGGTCCATACTATCTGACACACGATCTGGGCTGTCCCGGGAGCCGTGGTGGCTCACGTAGTACGACATGTCCCTGCACTAACCCCAGGTCATCGTCCTTCAGGCACGCCGTGTTAAGTGCAACACAGTGTGGATTATCGTTGATTAGTGTACTACAGTATGTACCGTCGACTGTCGAGCGTCGACTTTATTAGTTTTACTGCGGGTACATGTAAGCACAGTTGTTTTGGATCCAATAGGACTGGTGAGTGATGACCCAGTGGGATCGAGGACACACGTAGGTAGATGGGCAGCGTCAGCTTCGCTTCGGGCGCACCTTTTCCCAAACTAAGCGAGACAATGCCAACTAGTATAGTAAGTGTATAACACGATGACACTGTTCATGGACTGCATCGATTACCTATCATGCATGCAGAGGGGGTGATACTGATACGTGATTAGTTGATTACTGATCACTGATTATGAGGGTGCACGATAATGTACAGGTCGACCTGCTGAGCCGGATGCACTCGCCGTACCTGGTGGGGTTGCTGGGCTACTGCGCCGACCAGAGCCACCGTCTGCTGGTGTTCGAGTTCATGCCCAACGGCAGCCTCAAGAGCCACCTCCACCGGCGCGCGCTGGCGCCGGCGGAGCAGCCGCCGCCGCTGGACTGGCAGACGCGGCTGGGCATCGCGCTGGACTGCGCCCGCGCGCTGGAGTTCCTCCACGAGCACAGCTCCCCCGCCGTGATCCACCGCGACTTCAAGTGCAGCAACATCCTCCTCGACCACAACTACCGCGCCCGCGTCTCCGACTTCGGCATGGCCAAGCTCGGCTCCAACAAGGCCAATGGCCAGGTCACCACCCGCGTCCTCGGCACCACCGGCTACCTCGCCCCAGAGTACGCACAAACTAGCTTCTATTAAACCTTTTTCTGCTTAATATTAACTCATCGATGTCATGATGTGCTTGGCTAAACTGTGGTTACGTACTGCTGCAGGTACGCGTCGACGGGGAAGCTGACGACAAAGTCGGACGTGTACAGCTACGGCGTCGTGCTCCTCGAGCTGCTCACTGGGCGGGTGCCCGTCGACACGAAGCGGCCGCCGGGACAGCACGTACTCGTCTCGTGGGTCAGTATATAAAATCATCGTTAGTTGCCCATGTGGTCTGCTATTTGTCTTAGCTACAGTAGGATAAATGCAAGGATCGGTCGTGCTAGTCACATCAGGATGACCAACAGACACAACTTAAATTTTCTCACTTTTTTGCCGTGTGGAATCAACGCAGGCCCTTCCGCGGCTGACGAACCGCGAGAAGCTCGTGCAGATGGTGGATCCTGCCCTGATAGGCCAGTTCTCCCTCAAAGATCTGGTCCAGGTATTTATACCTTCCTAGCTACTCTCCGCATACTCTAGTAGTTACACTACAGTATTATTAACTGGAAGCAGTTGTGACTCTCAAATCTCTCTGACCCGTGCTTGCGACGTTGTGCTATGTGCAGGTGGCCGCCATCACGGCGATGTGCATACAGACGAAGGCGGACTACCGGCCGCTGATGACGGACGTGGTGCAGTCGCTGATCCCCATCGTGAAGAGCCCACTCATGTCCTGCACCTCCACGCCGCTGAGGCCCGCGCACGGGCACCACCACGTCGTCTACATGAGCCCGAGCAGGGGCTCTTCCAACGGCGGTGCCCTGGAAACGCGATGCGTCATGCACGGCTTGGATTGATTAGCCATATGCATCTCGATCAGCTGCAGATATATAATGCTAGCTCCTATGTATTACTACGTCTCGATCGTCGATCGCTTGCTTGGAGTACTTTGAGCCAGGCAGATGGGGAAGAAGAGATGGATGGTCAGCTTGTCAAGCTGCTCGATCGGAGGGAGATTGCTGGCACTACTCCCAGCTGTGTATAGAACGGTACCAGTACCACTTCACCAAGCTCATCACGGCTTGCTTGCAAGACATCCTTGCAAATGCAATTGCAGATTTGCTGTAGCAGTACATCATCACGTGCGTACGATTGTACTATTTATTAGGGACAGTTGTACGACGATTCCTTGTTCTTTTGTACGAAATCATATATATTCATATATTCCTGTATAAGATAGTAATTAAGATGGAAAAAATACAATAAATGGATCATCCTTTTTCAGGAGCAGCTGTGTAATTAAAAGAGTTGTTGAGTGTTGTTTATGGCTTCGATCTAGACCTCTTCTGCGTGGTACCGCTATCACCTAACCGAAATGATGGCACGAGATTCTGTTGTGATCGTTTTTTCATGATTTCATCATTGCTTAAGTGAACAGATTTGGCATCATCAGATAGAGCTTATCATATAGCAGAGTGATGCCAGTTCAGTCTTTTTGAAGGAGTTGCTGTGTCTACGAAATGGGGACCGGTGGTCCAAACCCCAAATGGAGAACGGACATTTAATTTCTCCTCTATCTCAGAGCAAGTATAAGAGCTATAAGCTTACTGTAAACTTATGTGAAGGAAAAAAGTAGTGAAAAATCATGGGTGTTGGCTCTCATGCAAGAGCTAGCTTATCACAAGCTCCAAGATTTTTTTTAGATAGTGGATCACAAGCTCCAAGATAAATATATTAAATATATAAGTGAGAGATAGAGAGAGGAGAAGAAAATTGTAGCCAACCTTATAGCTAATCTATTATATATGTTGGCTTTAAAATAAGCTAATAGTAAGAAATCAAAGAGGAGCAAAACTTTTTTTTGGAAAAAGTTGATCTGATGTCCTTGAACTATATGTCAGTCTGTATCAGGTCCCCAATCCCAAATATCATAAATCTCTACCCCTCAACTATCACAAACTGTGCAAAATTCTCATAGAGATTAATAGTTGAGGGGTAGAGATTTCTAGTATTGGAGATTGGGGACCGCATACAAACTCGACGTAAAGTTCCGGGACATCAGGTGAACTTATTTAAAAATTCTCTACCGGCCAGAGAAACTGCATACAAGCCCAATCACCTAGGTTCATCTTAGAATCTTGGAATAAATTCATCTGAGGTCCCTTAAATTATCAACGAATCCGATTTTCGTCCTTCAACTGGAAAACTAGATACAATTGGTCCCTCAACTATGAAAACCGGTGTAACATAGGTCCCAAGGCGTTTTGGACGATGATTTCGGCTGACGTGGCACCTACGTGGCTAATTTGATTTGGTCTTCATCTGACATGGCATTGGCGTGGCACATGAAGAAAATTTTAATAATTAAAAAAATGTTCCATTAAGAATTAATTTGGTCTCTTCATCTGACATGGCATTGACGTGGCACACGAAGAAAATTTTAATAATTAAAAAAATGTTCCATTGAGAATTAATTTGGTCAGCTAAATAATCTGGCGCGGAGGAAAAGCCTGCAGGCGATAGAGGCGCGGACAAGTTTGACAACGGTGGGGAGCAGGAGGAAGACCTCCCAGAGGAGATCTGTCACGCCCCGATTTTCGTTCGGGATTAAAAATCATTAAATAATCCATTTTTAGAATTTATATTAAAAAAGTTAAATCAATTTGATCAAGTGAATTAATGAGGGAATTAAAATTTTCCTTTAAAAATCATGGCCAGAAATATTTTTGTAATATTCTTTGTGCCCTAAAGTATTCTCTGAAATTTCTCGTGAATTTTCGGAGCTCAACTTCTAATTTTAACATCACAAAGTTTATTTAATCAATTAAATTAATTGAAAAACCAATTTAAATTCTCCTCCTTTCCCTTGGGCCGGCTCCGGCCCAAGTTCCCCCCTCGGGCCGGCCTCCCTCCTCTCTCCTCCCTTCCCAGCCCGCCTTCGTCCCCTCCCTCTCCAACAAGTCTTCCTTGTCCCCCCTCACTCTCTCCCCTCGCCGACAGGTGGGACCGGCAACCCCACCTGTCAGCTCCTCCCTCTACCTCCGGACGGAGCCGGCTACCACTGACGCCGCCCATGTCGCTGCCTCTCCCGCACCCCTCCCGCTTCCCCGACAGCGTCCAGCCGTGTGGACTCTCCCAACGCCCACTCCTTCACCTCTTCCCCCGGTTTTCCCTAAAAATCGGTGCTGTTTTGACCCCCACCATGAGCCCACGTCTACACCCCACTCCACCGGCCATTGCCGCCCTTCTCCGAACTCCTCGCACCTCCCGGGCATATATAAAGCTTCATCATGCTCCACTCTCTAGAGGGAGGTAAGCTCAATGCGCGAAATCCGTTTCAAGTTAGAGTGCGAAACTTCTTGCTGCAGCCGTTTTATTCGCTGCTTGCTACTTTCTAAAATGGAAGATGAGATGAATAGATTGAATTGATAGTCTAGTTCAATCTATAGTCTAGATTCCATTCCCTCGATCCACTCTCATTTAAATGATGGGATTGGGCCATACCAACCATTTACAGGATACCCTTTTCCCTCTCCATGGGATTACATCCCGAGTTATTGCGAAAAAAAAGAGGTTATGGAAGTCAATATTCTCGCATTTATTGTGCTTTTTGTTCAATTTCTCGTGGAGTAAAAAACTTCTCATCAGTACGAGTCAAGGGAATGGCCCCCTGGCCCCGGATAGGTTCTGGCTGGTTAGAGCAGAGGACTCGAAATCCTCTTTAGCTTTGCGCGTTGGACGGGTAATTCCATCAATGACACCCTTGTCGAAAAACTGCGTTAGTTCGGTTAATCCTCTTGGAAACTAACTACTTCTCCGGAAGCAACGTCAAACCCTGAAACCATAACACAGAATTCAATCTGCTCTTGGAAATCCTCGAAAGCCGTATACTATGTGATTTCATCTTAGACGATCAAATCACTAAATGATCTCTCTCTACGGCACTTTTATTTCAATGTTAGGCTAGGCTTCTTCTTTCCCGAAGGAACTCTCAGGAATGTCCGATTAACCGCTGCTTAGTGGTACCGAATGATACAAAGTTGTTCATATCAAAAATCGCCATTCCTGAGATTAACCACCCGCCGGGGGAGTTTATAAACAAAAAAATATCGCTAATTCCATCTTCTATACTGAGATAGGACTGAGACACGGCCCAGACTCCTACGGGAGGCAGCAGTGGAGAATTTTCCGCAATGGGCGAAAGCCTGACTCCCAAACTCATAACACATAACATAGCAGATTTCTTTGATTTCTAGTGCCCCAATGCGCCGCCATAAGGGAGGAAAGAAAGCTCAAGTTCTGTGAGTTACGGCCAGTAAGAGTAGTCACAGTCACTCGAAGTTGGCAAAGAAGCAGCGACAGGAAATTGCTGTAAAGCTCATATGGAGGTTTTTCATTCTGACATGAAATTTGCTGGGCACGCAGATTGGTCACTTTGTCAAGATCTTCCCTGGGGTCGAGCATGGATGGACCGTAAGATACAAGGATGACGATGCCGCTGCTGTCAAGAGCGCCGAGGAAGCCCTGGCAGACATGATCGACTGGTTTAATAAGAACCTCAAGTGAATTTGACATAGCAGCCCTCCATGATTGGCTGGTGTACACTGTACATCCTGAATTCACGTCGTATGGTAATAACGGCAGGGCCTGGAATCCTGGATTATGGTTGAGTAGGCTTCCCCAGTCTGCTTGTGCTAGTTTTGCAACCTCCAACTTCTGTAATAAATGGATGCAGGGCATATGTACTTTTTTTTTAAGAAAATGATATGAACGTTTTCTCTAGCCCCATCGGTTGACGATATTTCCTAATAAGCCACCAAAATGGCTTATTAGGAAAAAAATTAATTTATAGATAAAATTTTTATATATGAGTTCTTAACGATTTAAAAGCTGTTGCGTTGTGATCCAAATTCATTTGCACTTAATAAAGGCCAACTTAGTGAAGATATTTTGCTGGTTAGCGCCCGTGCTTTTTTTCTCTCTTGCTTTGGGAGGGTTTTCCACGTTAAAATCTCGTGTCTTCTGTGATTGATCTATTGTTTTTTATCGTTTGTTTGCCTATCGTTTCGTAACAAAAGCTAATGTTGAAAAAGAATCACGTTAAAATATTTTAAAATCAACTTTAAAATTAAATTTGAAAATTAAAATTTTGGCTTTTACTTCGACTTATTAGGGTAACCAACGGGGCTATCTGTTTTTGTTCTTGTTTTTAGTTCTCACTCCGTTCCAAAATAAAGAACCAGTACAGATGCTTTTTCAAAAAACAAAATTACTCCCTTCGTTTCATAATGTAAGACTTTCTAGCATTTTCCACATTCATATAGATGTTAATGAATCTAGACATATATATATATATATATGTGTGTGCGCGCGCGCGCGCGCATATATATATATATATATATATATATATATATGTGTATATATATATATATATATATACATATATATATATATATACATACATATATATATATATATATATACATATATATATATATATATATATACATATATATATGTCTAGATTCATTAACATCTATATGAATGTAGGCAATGCTAGAAAGACTTACATTATGAAATGGAGGGAGTTAGAAAGTTATATACGGGCCAAGCTCCATCCATGCCCAGGCGGTGTGGCCCATCTTGGTCTGGGCCATGTGAACCTTGCAAAGAATAAGTTCACTTTGACTCCCTCAACTAATAATCTAATCTGATTCCGGATATCTCGGACCCCAACTATTAAAACCGATACAATTTGACTCCCTCGGTGGTTTTGTTGACGTGGCATCTACGTGGCGGTACTGACCCGGTCTTTCCTATACGTGGCATTGACATGACACTTATGTGGCATTAGAATTTAAAAAGAGTAGATGATATCTCGCGCTTTGCTGTGAGATATATGTTAGATAATAGAGAAATGATGAAATGATTTGGATCGAAATATTATGAAAATGGTTTGAGAATGATGATTTGAGAGAGAGGGAGGAGGAAGGGAAGAAGAGAAAGGATGATATGTGGGCCCCACATATCAATGGCCAGCACAATATGTTTTGTGATATATACGGAGTACTTTTTAATTCAAAATGCCACGTAAAACGCCACGTGGGAGGAAGATTAGGTCAACACCACCAAGTAGGCACCATGTCAGTGAAACGGATCTTCAAAATCATAGGGAGTTAAATTACACCAGTGTTAGTAGTTGGCGGTCGACATAACCGATACTGCGATTGAAGGATATGAATCAGACGCGGCGAGCCAAGAGGACTTATTCCACCCTGCAATCGCAAGCGCCGAGTGGGCCCAAATTATACTGGATCGGTTGGATGAATTTTTTTATTAAAATATTTACAAAAATATTTTTTTTGTTTCGAAAATTTACAAATCTAATCGCCTACCGCCCTTTGGGAGGGCGATATTTAAAAATCGCCCTTCCAGAGGGCGGCAAGGGACCTAAATGCAAATTTTCCAGCACAACTTGTTAGCTCTGTGATTTTACAATTTAAAATTATATTATATAAAGTCATATGAAATAAAACTTTATATCAAAATTGTAGAGCTCAAGGAGATCTACAACTTTTTCATTTAAGATGTTTTAGATATCCAAATATTCGTTACAAAATATAAAACACATTTTAAAAAATCTTAGATCTATATTTCAAACGACATTGGATGGAGATAAATTTTATATAAAAGTTGTAGATCTTGATGAGATCTATAACTTTGTAGTTTATCACTTTTCCATTTAAAATTATCTAGAGTATCGAATAAGCATTATTAGTTTTTAAGCAATTAAAACCGGTGGAAAGGGTTTGAACACAAATAAAAATTTTGCATTTAGGTCTCTTGCCACCCTCTGGAAGGGCGATTTTTTAAAATCGCCCTCCCAAATAGCGGCAGGCAATTAGATTTGTAAATTTTTGAAAAAAATATTTTTGTAAATATTTTAATAAGAAAATGTATAAATAAAAAAAATTTTGGTTGGATTGAATGGCCTCAGCAGTGAAAAGTGGACTTGTTCCACCCTGCAATCGCAAGCGCCGAGTGGGCCCAAATTATACTGAATCGGTTGGACTGAACGCCTCAGCAGTGGGGGAATTTAACTATTTACCACTTTTATATTTGTCAATTATCCAAATATACCTTTTAGGTTCACACTTAATAATTTGTCACTGGAGAGAGGTGATTTCTTTAACTATTTGCCACTTTTAACTACATGGCGAGCCATCGTGGCATGTCCGCATGAAAAACGACATGGCATGCCAGCAGTGAGGTCACCCGTTGCGACACAGGTCGCGCCAGCGCTGACTTGTCCACCCACCCATTTCGAAGGGCGCAAACCCCCCAAACCTCCGGATTCCGGAACTTGTCCACCACACCACCTCGTTGCTCGCATCTCTTCCTGATCCCCCCCGTTGGATTCGATTCGGGGCGTAAAATTTCCTGCTCTGCAATCCGTCGCAATCAAGCGGCCGCTTTCCGAGGCCCCGGGCTCCCTTCCCTTCGCATTTATCCTCGCTGAGACTCGAGAAACACCGCGACCAGGAGAAATTTCAGCAGGAGCAGGCGATGGCGAGCCCGCAGTGCTGCGCGAACCCACCGACGCTGAACCCGGCCGGCGGGGAGGGGAAGGTGGTGGAGAGCTTCGGCGGGATCAAGGCGTACGTCGCCGGCGCCGCGGAGTCCAAGGCCGCCGTCGTCCTCATCTCCGATGTCTTCGGTGAGTGATCCCCTCCTCCTCCCATATTTTGTTCTTCTTCTTTATCTCTTTGTTTCGTTACTGTTCCGTTCTCGTTAAAGTTAGGTCTTCTTCTCTTTCAGGGTTTGAAGCGCCGAACCTGAGGTACAGATCTTTGTGTTATCTGATAGTACTAGTTTTTCGATTCCACCTGTACAGGATATGCCACTGTTCTGATATATTTTGGGGGAAATGGATTATCGATTCCCACCTATACAGGATATGCCACTGTTCCTATATAGTTTGGGAAATGAATTATTCATTATTGGGTTGTTAGAAACTTCGAAGGTCTTCCGGGCACTTTGGGGCTGACTGATGCCCATACCGTGTGCTGGGATTTTTCACATGGTTAATAAGTTTTTTTTTCAGGGGAGGTTGGGGGGGGGGGGTGTGGAATTTAACCACAATTTTGATGATGACATATGTGCACTCTTTGAGGTGTTTCAGCCTGCAGTAGTAACTTGTAAGCATTGTCTGATGCTATGACCTATACTATGGAACCTGATGTAATTGCTTATCTCAGAAAGGAAGATATACAGCCGACAGAGTTTGCTGCGCTGGGATTTTGATATGATTTTAAAATTTGAGTAAATTTCACAAAACTACAGATATATTGGCTAAATCATTGCAAAACTACATATTTAAGATATTGTATCACAAAATTACAGATTTAACACCAAAATTATCACAAAACTACATGTTTAAGGCTAAGTATCACAAAACTACAGGTTTAACATCAATTTAATTACAGAATTTGGATATTTATTAGTGCTAAGGATTTAAACCCCAACATCTTTAGTTTTTTGATAATTTTATTATTAAATCTATAGTTTTACGATATTTAGCCTTAAAACTTGTAGTTGTGGTAAATTTTTCGTTAAATCTATAGTTTTGTGATACATCACCTTAAATCTATAGTTTTGTGAAATTTACTCTTAAAATTTTGAAAAGTTTAAGTTCAATTTTCATGATGGCATGTGCCTCTTTGAAGTACTCTAGTTGTCTTAAGCGCTAATTGTCTGCTACCTACTGTGGAAGTTGATGAGTAATCACTTATCTCTTGAAGGAAGATAGCCGACAAAGTTGCCTCGTCTGGATACTTTGTTGTGGTGCCAGATTTCTTACATGGGGATCCTTTAGTACCTGAAAGTACTGAGAAACCGTTTCAAATGTGGATAAAAGAACATGGCCCGGTTTGTTATTCTCCCCTGAAATTACATTCCACTTCTCACTGTTTTTTTTGGTATTTTGGAAAATTATTCAGGTTCCCCTGTTTCATTTTTTTCTTGATGCTATATGTTCTCAAATAGTTTTTATTGCCTCATGTGGATGCCAGAAATTTCATACTAGCGCATACTGTAGTTTCTTTAAATGTAATGTTCGGTGTATATAAAAGTACCACTGTACCAGTTCATTTTGTAGGTGTATACAGGATCTTTCGTTCGATTATAACCATCATGAGCCTATAAATGCCTTAGCTATACATCTTTCTGGCTTCTAAACACCTATTATATTATTAAGAGGGAAAAAATGAGCCATCATATTTGCTCTAGTAGCCTAGAAATTACCACGTTAATTGGAGAAAAAGAGAAAGATATTCGGCGTTTGATCATGATGGCAAATTATAATGGTGTAGATTGATCGATATAGTTATATACAAAGTACAGTAATAGTTATGGAAACAGAAGCAAGAATGCAAGATTTGTATACTAAATCTAATTCTACTTATTAAGTTATTTCCATACAAAACTTCATAAGGAAATGTGCTAGTAGTTTGTATTTTTATCTTCCCTTGTTTGCAAAAGCTTGATTAGACATACCTTACCGACTATATTTCCTTTGTAACTAAGGGATGCAAGGTGGATGGTTCATGGGTGCCCATTGACCCATGCTTGTGCCTTGTCCCCTCCATTTAGTTGTATACACTATATGAACTAGCAAATGACTAAAGAGCGCACTTTTAGTTAGATGGAATAAGTCAATGTTTACCCATGAGTGGGTAAACTTTTATCCCTACCTTTGTTTGTTCATCTTTCAGTATTTCACCGTCTATTGAAAATATCATCCAATAACATGCTTTTCCTTTTTACAGGACAAAGCATTTGAAGAGGCGAAACCAATTATTGCCGCTCTGAAGGAGAAAGGAGTGTCTAGTATTGGGGCTGTAGGTTATTGCTGGGGTGGTAAGTGCTTTCTTTTGTCTATTGTGTTTTTGTAATTCTGATGTAGAATTTGAAGGTTTAGCCTGCTAACTGTGAGTGTCATGTCACTTCTTTCATGGATCAGCAAAGGTGGTGGTAGAGTTAGTGAAAGCTCATGAGATCCAGGCTGCTGTGATGTGTCACCCCTCTTTTGTGACTGTTGATGATATGAAAGGTCTAGGTCCCTTTTGAATTTTGTAGATGCACAGTGTTCTCTTGTAGATGGTTTGATACTTACTCTATGTCTATGGCATGGACTACCTAATTTCAGAGGTCAAATGCCCAATTGCTATACTTGGAGCTGAAATTGATCGTATGTCCCCACCAGAAGTGGTGAAGCAGTTCGAGCAGGTTCTTTCTTCAAAGTCAGGGGTAAGTTCTCAATCATGAAAGTTGATCATCGGGACAAACATTTATGGGTTTTAGGTTTTCCAGATATAACTTATTCTAAAGTAAGTTCTCAAGATTTACCATAGTGCCAAACTGTCACATTATAGTACATATTCTGATTCTGATTTTGATGTCCTACCAAATCATGCCTTTGGTTTTTCCTTTTTCCAAAGATCCAGCAATTGTGGTGTTTGTATTAGAAGAATAGCAAGTCTTTCCAACAAGTATGCCTTAGCTTTTGATATTGGAAATACTCGGCCTCCTTTTGTGATTAAAAGCCATGTAGGAGTGATGCAATGAAATCAATCCACGTAGGAGTGATGCAATGAAATCAATCTTTCACCTTTCTTGTCCCCGTTGTTTCTATAATACGGCGGTGTTGTCCAGCTGAAGATTTTTGTTCTTAACCAGTGAAACATAGACATACATTCACTGAAGCCGGTGAAAATCACTACTATACGAAATAGGCAGGACAAGTTAAGGAGAAGAATTGTAAAATTTAGTGGTTTATAGAGAAATTGGAGAAACACATTAGCGAGAGTAGATTGCTGAAACACATTAGCGAGAGGAGATTGCTTTAAAGCTCCTATGGTGGTTTTTCATTCTGACAATGAACTTTGTTGCGCACGCAGATTGGCCACTTTGTCAAGATCTTCCCTGGGGTTGAACATGGATGGACTGTGAGATACAAGAATGATGATGCAGCTGCTGTCAAGAGCGCCGAGGAAGCCCTGGCGGACATGATTGACTGGTTTAATAAGAACCTGAAGTGAATTTGACATATCCGCTGTCCACGATCGGTTTGTGTATTGCTCATGTTTCATCGCAAGCATCCTGAATTTACGGTTGAGTAGCCTTCCCATTATGTTTGTGCTAGTAGTGTATATGCTTTGCTTGTGTTAGGAATTTGCTTTGTGTCAACCTGAACTTCCACTTCTGTAATAAAAATGGATGGGCGAGCATCTTCTCGGTTTGGTGGTCACGACTGACGAGAACATATCATTTTGTTACATCGAACTTTTGAAACTTTGCACATAACCTGGTCATCTGGCTTTTCTAGCACCATCGATTTGCTCCAAGTAATTAGCGGGTTATTATGATCACTGCTAAATCTATCTATCTATCTATCTATCTATCTATCTATTATATTAGATAATAATATTAAGATAGCTTTAAAAGGAGGCATCACGTTCGCTGTGGAGTTAGAAATTCTCACATTAATCGGAGAAAAAGAAAATAATAGTCCATTTAGAAATACAATTTAAAAATAGCTGAAATTCGAAAAAAATAAGCAATATTGAAATAAGAGTCCATATAAGAACTTAATACGAGATTAATCAAAATTCGGAATAAAAATAAAATAAAATCTGAAATTAGAAAAGAAAAGAAAGAGTCCAAGTGGAAATACAATTTAAAAATAACTGAAATTCGGAATTGAAATTAAAACAAGGAATATTGAACCCAATACGAGATTAATTAAAATTTAGAATAAAAATAAAATAAAATCCAAAATTAGAAAAAAAAGAATAGTTTACGTAGGAATAAAATTAAAAAATAAATAAAATTCGAAAGTAAAAATAAGAAATATTGAAAGAAAAGTCCATGTAAGAAACCTATACGAAATCAATTAAAATTCGAAATAAAAACCTAATAAAATCCAAAATTAGAAAAGAAAAAGAGAGTTAGTGCAATTTTGAAACAATTGAAATTATAAATAAAAAAATACGAAATATTACAAGAATAGTCTATATAGAAAACAATATGAGATTAATTAAAATTTAAAATAAAAATAAAATAAATTCAGAAAATAGAAAAAGAAAAATAAGAGCTCAACTAGAATAAAATTTATAAATAAATAAAATTTTTAATAGAAAAAATAAAAACTATTAAAATAAGAGATAAACTATAACACATGACACTAATTAAAGTTCGAAATAATAAATAAAATAAATTTCAAAAATAGAAAAATAATTATAAGAATTCAAGTAGGAACATAATTTATGAATAAAAATTATCGGAATAAATTTTTTTTCTAGAACACAATGATGACAAATGACAATAAAGAGGGGAGAAACAATAGGCTTGTAAAGGAGTAGAGTGCTGGCGGTTGATGGGATATCTATAAACTATAAACAAAACGCCAAATAGAATCCTAATGATAATTAAGAGGAGTGATGATGGGCATGCCATTAAGCAGCATGGTCATGACGGTCGGTGAGACTTATGGAGAGTAAAAGTAAACCCCAATGATTATCATGTTCGATTTTTATAATCTCAATGACAATAAGGAGGGGAGGCAGTAGGCGGGCTGTAGAGAAGTATAGTGGCGAAGCCACTAACGATTTGGCGAGACTTATAGAAAGTAAAAAAAGAATACAAACAATAATTATGTTCAATTTTTAAAATCCCAATAATAAATAAAGAGAGGTGGCAGCGGACGGGTTGTATAGTAGTAAATTGGCAATGTTTGACGATACTTCTAAAAAATATGAAAAGAAAACCCAATAATGAACTCTAAAAACTATAAGGGCTAATATTTAAAGTTATAGAGAAGATGAATAGAAATAGTGGTAGATCGGGTAAGCAAATAAAAAGGTGCCAAAGGAGTAAGGGGTAGCTAATGGCATGGTTTTTAAAAACTATAAAATTATTAGAATCATGGGAATAATAATTTTAAATAAAATCATGTGTGAAAAATAGATAATTTTAAATTGACGCTAGCTGTGCAATTGCGCTGGCCGCCCAACAAGTTCTTCTGAAAAGATCGTCATGGATCCATTGGCTCCAAGTCCCAGCGGCACTGCAGTTCGCGCGTACAGCAACCCATCAAACGAGCGAGGAAAGCTCAGCATCAAAGCGGCGTCACCGGTGAGGTCACGCGCCACCGGCGAATAAACAATAGCCGGCCGGCACGACGTCGATTTCTGAACCCTCTCTTTCGCAGAAATCCTGGGCGCCTCTCTGTCAGTTTCTCCACTACACTGTGCGCGTCTCTGCTTCAGTGGGGGTGGTCTTTGTGAAGCGGACTTGAAGGATCGGAGGTGTTCCATGGCAAGCTCGCAGTGCTGGGAGAACCCGCCGGCGCTGGACCCGGCCGGCGGAGGGGGCGAGGTCGTCGGCGACTTCGGCGGGCAGAAGGCGTACGTCGCTGGCTCGGCCGGCTCCAAGGCCGCCGTCGTCCTCATCTCCGACGCCTTTGGTAAATTCCGATTCATCACGAGTTAAATTGAACATGCAAGGATCGACTAGGGATGTTGACTGCTGAAATACCATTTCCCTCTTTGCAGGCTTTGAAGCCCCAAACCTGAGGTAAGCTATGGAACCTACTTTGAACTTGCAGTTGCTTGCTGGTATTTCTAGTACGCGTAATGGATAGTGTAGAAGGCATTTCTAAGTGGACAAAACTGCATTTACATCAGTTAATCTGAATTTCCTCTTCCAAAACCTTGTTTCAGGATAAGGGGATCATAATTACACAAGAATAGTGGATCTTCCTTTTGAAGTTTTCAATTCAGATTTGTCTACTACTTCCTCCGTTTCACAATGTAAGTCATTCTAGCATTTCCCACGTTCATATTGATGCTATATATCTAGATTCATTAGCATCAATATGAATGTGGGAAATGCTAGAATGACTTACATTGTGAAACGGAGGGAGTATTACATACGTTCCTATTTTTTCAACTCATACTTGTTGAATTTGTGCATTTGTTGAATATATACTTAGCAAAATAATACGGTATAATGTTGAATCTCATGATGTTAGCATAATCAGATTGGTATTGGAACTAGATTTTGCTTTTATGCTCTATTTGAAGTGCATCTGTTTGTTTCCTTAGCAAAAATAACACAGTATAATGTTGAATCTCATGATGAAGGTTGGATTAGTCGAGCTCTATGTAGCAAAATCAGATGGGTACTGAACTACGATTTTGCTTGTGTGCTCTATTTGAAGTGCATCTGCTTGTTTCTAGCAATACCCATCATTTATAAACTGACACGAATTTAAATATTTCGATATTTCGTGAAGGAAGATAGCAGACAAGGTTGCTTTGTTTGGTTACTTCGTTGTGGTGCCAGATTTCCTTCATGGGGACCCATACCAGCCAGACAATCCCAACAATCCTGGAATTTGGTTACAGTCACATAATCCGGTTCGTTATCTCCTCAACTTTTACCTATCCTTGAGGTTTCATGCCTATCCTTAAGGTTTCAGGACAGTTTGTTTCTATTTTCTTCTTGAAAATATTTGTGTGGAAATGCTACCATTGTCTGTGGCACGATCGCACAATGCTCCTAGCCAAGCTTGTTTCAAGCAGTAAATAATTCATTCAACCCTGTCAGAATCACATACGGAGTGTAAACCTTCTGGGCATGCCTCAAGAATGTCGTCAGTTTGAATGAACATTTTGCTGATAACTGCACTAGATGAGATGACTCTGAACTTTCAGTTCTTCTGCATTTATACTTTTTGTAAATGTTCTGATCATTCAGGCACTCATAGAGCTGGTTGTTGCCTTTTCTTTTCCTTGCTATAGCCTTCCAAGGTTATAGACCTGTAAATTTTTTTCTGCTCTATCAACACGAAATGTCATACTATCTTGTGCATGTTGTTTAAAAAAATAGTGTGTTAAAGATTCTTCTTTAATTTAACCATTGACTAGTCAGATAGCATATGATATCTGGTTTGGTCTTTTCAAGCAAAGTATTCTGTAAATTTAGGACCTATATTGGCTCTCAACACCCTGAAAACTTTTTTTTATCTATGTTGAAAAGTATTATCAAGCAGAAAAAAATATTTCTTTTAATCTTTTAGATAATGGAAGATAAATTTTATTTTAATAGAAAGAGGCATTTGAAGAGGCAAAACCAGTTATTGCCGCTCTAAAGGAGAAGGGAGCATCTTTCATCGGGGCTGCAGGTTATTGTTGGGGTGGTAAGTTCCATGTGTTTTACTTTTGAACTACAATTTGAAGATTGTCTTTTTTAGTAGTAATTCTTGTTTTTTGTTCTCAAAAAATTTCCCCTTAACATACATAAATATCACCACTTTTCATATTTTCAGCAAAGGTAGTGGTGGAGTTAGGCAAAGTCCATGAAATCCAGGCTGCTGTATTGCTACACCCTTCTTTACTTGCTGTCGATGACATCAAAGGTTAAATTTGTATTGCTCGAGTTTCCACGTCCTAAATTTCATCTATTACAAGGGCTTCAAGCACTTAACCTCTGATATATTAACTAATGCTCAGAAGTCAAATGCCCAATTTCTATACTTGGTGCTGAAATTGACAAGACGTCTCCACCAGAGCTGTTAAAGCAGTTTGAGCAGATCCTTTCTCCTAACCCCGAGGTAAGTTGTCAACCTTTGGGTTGATCTTAAGCTAGAAAATTTACAGAAAGTAAGGAATGCTCAGATTCAGTTAATAGTTCACTACTGATCTAAATTTGCATATATGAAATCCTTGATGCCAAATTATGTGTCTCGACTGTTTGTTATGTGTTTTGATTATTTAACAACAATCAAGGTGGACTGCCTTATAAATCACATGATTATTAGTATTTCTATAATGGCAAATGTAATTTTATGATATAGGACACCCATATGAGGCACCATGGTGCCCGGGCACTGTAGTTTGTGAATTTTTTCTCTGGAAGCTTCACCCCTTCAGTATTGCTATCGTTATTTACATATACATGAGTAGATGGGCCTCTAGCTGATGGGCCAGCACACAAACACACACACACACACACTATTCTATTTACAGCCCAACACTCCCCCTCAAGATGGGTGATAGATATCTATCATACCCATCTTGTCACACGAACGATTACACTCTTTAACACCTAAACCCTTTGTTAAACAATCAGCAACTTGTCCACTAGACGTTACAAATTCTAATTCCAAAACTCCCTCATCCAGTTTTTCCTTGATAAAGAAACGATCCAACTCCACATGCTTTGTTCGATCATGCTGAACTGGGTTGTTAGCAATGTTGATTGCTGACTTGTTGTCACACCACAATTTCATGGGAGTATCCACCGACAACTTTAACTCAGAAAGAAGATTCCTTAGCCATAACAACTCACTCAAACTCACTGACATTGCCCGATATTCTGCCTCAGCAGTTGAGCGAGACACCACCGGTTGCTTCTTGCTCCTCCAAGATACTAAATTGCCACCAACAAACACACAATAGCCTGAAGTTGATCTTCTATCATCAGGACAACTTGCCCAATCTGCATCACAATAGCCTTCAACCTCCAAGTGTCCATTTTTCTTAAACCATAGGCCTTTACCTGGGCTTCCCTTCAAATATCTCAAGATCCTATAGACCGCATCCATATGACCACTCCTTGGATCATGCATATATCGACTCACCATACTGACAGCATAAGTTATGTCAGGTCGTGTATGACACAAATATATCAGTCTTCCCACCAATCTTTGGTATCTTTCCTTATTCACTGGATTTCCAGACTCTGCACATAATTTATGATTTTGATCAATTGGTGTAGAGGCTGGGCGACATCCAAGCATACCTGTGTCACTGAGCAAATCCAATGCATATTTCCGTTGTGACAGAACTATCCCTCTAGGAGATCTTGCAATTTCAATACCCAGAAAATATTTCAACTGGCCTAGGTCCTTAACTTCAAATTCTTTGCTTAGATTCTGTTTCAACCTAGTTATCTCCAAGCAATCATTCCCAGTGATAATCATATCATCAACATAGACAGCAAGGATGGTTATATGATCTCCACTATGATGATAAAAAACTGTATGATCTCCATTACATTGCTTATAGTCCATAGCACACATTGCACGCCTAAACCGATCAAATCATGCTCTTGGTGATTGTTTAAGACCATACAAAGATTTCTTCAATCTCAGCACCTTTCCTTCAGTTTGTGAAGTAGCAAATCCCGGTGGGATATCCATATACACCTCTTCTTGAAGATCTCCATGTAAAAATGCATTCTTGACATCTAGCTGATGCAATGGCCAATCAAAATTAGCTGCACAAGATATGAGAGTTCTTACCGTGCTCATCTTTGCTACTGGTGCAAAAGTTTCATCATAATCAATTCCATATGTTTGACTATATCCCTTAGCCACCAGCCTTGCTTTGTATCTTTCCACCTTTCCATTAGGATTTTGCTTTACTGTATAAACCCACTTACAGTTGACAACTTTCTTTCCTTCAGGAAATGGTACAAGATCCCATGTTTTGTTCTTTTCAAGAGCCTCTAGTTCATCTAACATAGCTTGATGCCACCTTGGATCTTGCTTTGCTTCTCTCCAATCCTTTGGGATTTCCATTGAATCTAGTGATGCTACAAAGGCTTTATATGTGGATGACAAGGAGTCATAGGAAACAAAGTTGGATATATTATTTTCTTCATCACCCTCATCTTGATCTTCAAAACCATACCTTAGTGGAGGTTTACCTGCATTGCTTCTCACACTCTTTCTGACAGCAATTGGTAAGTCAGATTCTTCTCTAACTTCCTCTTCTTCTCCCCCTGACTCCAAAGACCCTTGCTCATGATTTACATCTTTCTCTACCTGATTATCCTCTTCAACTTGTTGGATTACTGGACACCTTGTTCTCCTTGTGTATACTTGAAGATTTTCCTCTTCATGTGGCTTCCTCCATTCTTGCTCTTGTGCAACAGGACCACCCATAGGACATGGAATTGAACCAACCACAAACTTTTCCTTCTTTGATTGTTCATCTCCCTTTGGACCCAATATTTCACCTTCCATCTGTTGACCATCATGACCACTAGTTGAATTATCAAGATCAACGAATAAAGAACTTAAATCTGTCTTCTCACCGTAGAATGGGACAGATTCTCTAAAAGTAACATCCATACTAACAAAGGTTCGTCGTTCTGATGGACTCCAACACTTATACCCCTTCTGGCCAGATGGATAGCCTATAAAGATGCATTTGACAGCCCGAGGATCAAGTTTTCCAACGGAAGGTCTATGATCTCTAACAAAACAAGTGCAACCAAACACTTTTGGTGGAACAACAAATTCATTCTTTCCAAATATCATCTCACATGGTGTCTGCATTCCAAGTATCCTTGATGGCGTGCGGTTGATAAGATAAGTTGCTGTCATTACTGCCTCACTCCATAAGAATTTAGGTACATTCATAGCATACATCAATGAGCGAGCTGTCTCCAAAAGATGACGGTTTTTTCTCTCAGCCACCCCATTTTGTGGAGGAGTATCAGGACAAGAAGTTTGATGCAATATTCCTTCTGATGAAAGAAAGCTACTAAATTCATTGTTTATATACTCCCCGCCATTATCAGTTCTAATAAACTGAACTCGAGCATTAAAATGATTTTTAATGTATGCATAGAAATTCTGGAAGCATTTAAACACCTCATCCTTATGCCTCATAAGATATAACCATGTCATACGAGAGTAGCAATCAATAAAGGTAACAAAATACTTCATTCCACTCATAGAGACCATAGGTGAAGTCCAAACATCTGAGTGAATTAGCATAAATGGTAACATACTTCGGAGTCCTCTACTCACATATGATGTTCTTGTATGTTTTCCATACTCACATGCATCACATACTAACTTATGTTTATCCACTCTACTTAGTTCTGCTGGAAACATCTTACTCATAGTTTCAAAAGATATATGCCCCAATCGACAATGCAAAAGTAATACCTTAGCCTCTTCTTTACTTGTAGAAGCCATCAATGCAAGACATACATCTTCACTTGTCTCCTTTCGATCCAAATACCAAAGTCCATCACGCCTGACGCCAGTCCCAAGTTTCTTCCCTATTTGCCTCTCATGAATTAAACAATTCTCACGATCAAGGGATACCCGACAATCCATATGATCAACAAGAGAACTTATTGAAATCAAATTCACTGGAAAAGAAGGGACATATAACACTGATGATAAAGTGATTGAAGGAGTACATTGTACTGTTCCCTCTCCCTTAACTGGGCATGATGTTCCATCAGCAGTTTCAATTGTTTCTTTTCGTGTAAATGGGTATGGTTTATATGATGCAAATTCTCCACACATACCCGTGACATGTCTGGATGCACCCGAGTCAAGTATCCAATTTGAATGAGAACTATTGATTGACATAAATGCTTGGTTTGAGTTACCTGAGATAGAATGAACAAGGTTGGCAACATCAACATTTGTAGGTCCAGAACAACCCTCTTCAAGAGTGACCACATTAGCTCTGTGATCACCTCTATACTCATAGCCTCTACCTCTGTTAGCTCTACCTGCATAACCTCTTCCACCTCTTGCTCCACCTCTATCACCACTTCTTCCTCTTCCATAACTAGGCTTGCGAGGAGCACGACAATCACGCATGAGATGCCCCATTTTAATCAAGCAGCACTCAACTAACTGCTGTAACAAAGCAAACTCTCCTTGTCTACACTCCACCAGCAGCACTAACAACAAGCCAACAATTCCTCTACCCTGTATTTTCTTCCCAGTAAATCAGTAGTAGCAGCAAGAACAATCTCGATTACCTCAATTTTGAAGAAGAACAACAGTAACAACAGTCACTAGTGCTTCTTCCCTCAACCACAAGCCACAGTACAGAGTCCACCACCAGCCAACAAGCAGAAGCACGGCTGGGAACCAACTCAACAAGCAGAAGCACGGCCGGGGAACCCACTTGTAGCTGCTGCCCCTCCAGACCTCCCTGCTCAGCTCACGCACCTGCTGTGTGTTGCCGTCACCGCCGCTCGCTGCAGCAGCCGCGAGCGTCCTGACCTGCTGCGCCTCCAGTCCACTCCTACTTGTCCCTGCTCACCGTCCTACACCACCACCAAGAACTCCAACCTCAGCGCTTGCTCCCTCAGCTAGGGTTCGTCGCCGCCGGCCGCCAGGAGCACGGCTCTGATACCATGTAGTTTGTGAATTTTTTCTCTGGAAGCTTCACCCCTTCAGTATTGCTATCGTTATTTACATATACATGAGTAGATGGGCCTCTAGCTGATGGGCCAGCACACAAACACACACACACATTATTCTATTTACAGCCCAACAGGCACCAAGGTATGAAATACACAAATTCACTCCAAAATTTTAAAATATATGCAAACATAATATGTGTGCAAATCGACCAGGTCTTTTTCCTGCTTTTCAAATGTATTTCTAACTTAAGCCCTGCATGTTTGGATATCCACGTGAGCACTTCAGTTCAGATTAAAAATCTCGGAGAGCTTTGAGGTCTTCCATTTTCTCTACAGATTGCTCACTTCGTCAAGATTTTCCCCGGCGTAGAGCATGGATGGGCTGTGAGATACAATCACGATGATGCAGCTGCCGTCAAGAGCGCTGAGGAAGCCCTGGAAGACATGATGGATTGGTTCAAGAAATACCTGAAGTAAAATCTGAATTAGCAGCTCTCCATGTACCAAGATATTGCTAAGTGCTAGCTAATGCACGAACAGCTGATCTTGATATGCCATTTTGGGCCTGAACTTCGTTTATGCCATTGTGTTGTAATGGCGTGTGTGCTTCCGTTCCATGTGCCTCATGATACTTACTTTTAGTACTATTTCTGAACATGTGTGTGAGGTTGATCCAATCCTGCACCAACAAACCTGAAATTTTTGCTGTGCATTGGAGTTGATTTTCCAGCAATGAAATTTGCAAATGCCAGGAAGGTTTAGAGAAAATTCACTTACTATCACATTTGATCATGCAAAAACTATACCAAATTACAAGAAGCAAAAACAAAAAAGGATAACTGTCTTAGATTTTTGGTCTTCAGGCTATTGATGGGTGGCTACTGGCTAGTTAGTTCTGCATAGTCATACAGAAATCTGAAGGTCTGCCTTCCTTCCATGACTTGTTTACAGCTGATCTGACGATGTCAACGGTCAACTTTGTCTTGCTTCTCCACAGAAGGAATTGGATTGTTTGTTTTGTTGATCTAATCTTTTCTTTTTATAAAGCTAATGCCCACTAAATATTTAAAACTCAACATGCAAGTATAGTATTTATTAACACTCGTAAACCTACACAAACATGACACATCAATCTATTAAGCACACAAAACTCAACATGTAAACATATAGTAATTATATCTACAATTTATTTCATCCTAAAACTAAACATACACATGCTAAATCATCATTCTCAAATCATTTTCATAATATTTCAGTTCAAATCATTTCATCATTTCTCTAATATCTAACATATATCCTGCAGAAAAGTACGGGACATTATCAGTTAACAATATTACCTACTCCAATCCACATGGAATAGGTCCAATCCACGTGTACATCCAAACAAAAAAAAGTATGGTGGTGTAGTATCTATCAAGGGATTAGTCAAAGGAGTCGGTGAGTGATGTGATCGTGGTACTCGACTACGCTTCTTTCCTTTTTATTTTTGCAGAAGAGTTTCATGAGTGCGTAGAAACATTGCACATTGCATTAATTCTGCGGGGTTATTCAGATTGTAGCTAAAATAAATGTTATCAAATTTTAGTAGGATTTGTTATGTATTGACCAAAGTTTAGAAAAAAAAAACTAAATGTATGCACCTTTTTGATAATTTTATTAAAAAAGATATGGTTTAAAATGATATCAATCTGAATAGCCTTGTATCTAATCAAAATTATTGCTCTCATTTTGGGAATGGAGTTGGCTGCACTGAAAATTGTGTGCTTGAAGATTAGTCTAATCATACAGCAGTATGCCGTCGATTACATAAATAAATACTCCTTCCAACTCAAAACATATGACAACTATTTTGTTCAATGTTTTGTAATATAATATAAGACGTATATACATGTATACAATTTAGTAGCACATATATTTCTCTAGATTCGTTTTTATAAAAATCCCCCACCCTCAAGATATCCAATCCTAGGGAGTATGGATGGTATTTTTTATGGTTATCCAAACGAATAGGCGATAATTATATTTACATTAGTGGTAGTTGCACCTTATATTTTGGGATAGGAGTACATATTATGAAAATCTTTACTACTTACATGAAAAGCGTAACTCAACCGGTTAGATTTCTTGCGGTGAAACAAACCGCCCGGGTTCTAGGACTAGACTTGACCAGGTTCTATCGGAAACCCCCCCGATAAGATAATATTTGCCCCCTTTTTTTTTGAATTTGGCAATATTTATTTAAATTTGACCAAATTTTGTTTAGTAAAATCACATAATTCCGGACTGAAATAACCGAAATTTCATAAATTTCGGCCATATCGGTGACCCCGATACAAATGCATGAAACGATAGATTGAAGCATGAACTTGACACGTGTGCTTGTATTTACTGTTTATTATTCTTTTAATTGTAGGTGACGTATCCATCGATAGCAATACATCCGTTGTGACTTCGTCAATCTCAAGACACCTATGATGACTTTATCAATTTTAAGATATGCCGACTCAAAGAAAGTGATGGTAATGTTATCTTTTTCAATCTTCATTAGCACAAGCATATTCTTGTGTAAGAAAGGTACCAGTGGTAGACTACAGAAATAAGGTGCTCCAGTGTTAAACCAAACCATGCATGCCTAAACAATTGGATCCCTCAATTGCCTACTCAAGCTCTTCTACATATCATCACTATATCCCATTATCCATTTCTTTAGTACTTCTTTTTTTCATCTAGACTTTTTTAAAGAACAGGCAGATTTTATAACCCGGCTTTGAAAGAAAGCCCAAATAGAACAAGGTCTTTGAGGAAATAACCAAAGTATTTTGTTCATCTAGATGTGAAAGTATTTTCATCTTTTAAGAGGATATCTTATTGTTTTTATATACCTTTCAAATAGTCATTTTAAAAAGTTACATATTTATATGGTGATATATCATATATTGTTCTATTTTATCAATTTTTCCTATGATTTTTTTAGTAACATGTACGAAACGACGGGATGTTCTCAAAGGATGAAAAATCCACATTCCATCTAAGATTACTAACCTTCTCGAGTCCTTTGGCGTGTCCTCACAGCCTATTGACAAACACAAGAAAAAATGCATGCATATTTGATCAACAATGCACGGATTTGATTTGATGATGTTCATGCTTAGAAGATGGCATTGCCACGTCCCAAGGGCGCATCCGCGCATGCGACCTTCCAAGTCCCAACATAAAATGTTTCAATTTTCCTGCCTGCTGTCATGTCGAACGCAGCCTCCTAATTAAGAAATTGCAATCACTGTCTGTATGTAACATCATCTGAAAATTAGAATTTTTTTAGTTTATCATACAAAGATATTGGCATTGACTAAACATTATTAACTGAATTATATGACTCCATATGCAGCAAGTAGTGCATTCTTTTTTTTTTAACGTGACATAGCACGCACACACTCCATACGGATGATGGTATATTACAGGCATACTTACATACTTATGAGTACCTCTAAAACACACACACACTCACTTTATAAACGCACATACGCACACCATCTAATACCATATAATACGAAATAATAATATAATCACACACACTCATTTTATAAATAATTAAAAAACCCTATCCAGTTAAATTACGTTTACTTCACGTCAAGCGGTGCATTCTGAAAGCCTACACGTCGATCGATTGCCAAGTCAGTCGCATGACCGTGTTCTGAAAAAAAAAACCACTCACATGATCGCTACTTACACTCTCCTTCCATCTCCATATATCAAATTTGATTGATGATTAAATAAAATTAGTACCTAAGCAGCCACGGCACGTGATGCTGCATGTTCCGTGAACGTGTCAACTTTGTCCGAAGCTGAGCTCGATCGGATTGTTGCAACGAGCAACGACTTTCTCTCGATAAATTTGTGTATAAAAGCCACACTCTGCTCGTTATCCGGCAGACAAGACGAGAGAAGAATTAAGCATGTCGACGCCGAGAGCGGCGGCGAGCCTCGCCAAGAAGGCGGCGCTGGTGGCGCTGGCCGTCCTGGCCGCGGCGCTCGCGACGGCGGCGCGCGCCGAGCAGTGCGGCGCGCAGGCCGGCGGCGCCAGGTGCCCGAACTGCCTCTGCTGCAGCCGCTGGGGCTGGTGCGGCACCACCTCCGACTTCTGCGGCGACGGCTGCCAGAGCCAGTGCAGCGGCTGCGGCCCGACGCCGACGCCGACGCCGCCGAGCCCCTCCGACGGCGTGGGCTCCATCGTGCCCAGGGACCTGTTCGAGCGGCTCCTCCTCCACCGCAACGACGGGGCGTGCCCCGCGCGCGGGTTCTACACCTACGAGGCCTTCCTCGCCGCCGCCGCCGCGTTCCCGGCGTTCGGCGGCACCGGCAACACCGAGACGCGGAAGCGGGAGGTCGCCGCGTTCCTGGGCCAGACCTCCCACGAGACCACCGGCGGGTGGCCGACCGCGCCCGACGGCCCCTTCTCCTGGGGCTACTGCTTCAAGCAGGAGCAGAACCCGCCGTCCGACTACTGCCAGCCCTCGCCGGAGTGGCCGTGCGCCCCCGGCCGCAAGTACTACGGCCGCGGCCCCATCCAACTCTCCTTGTAAGCACGCAGTATACGGTCACTGTCCACCTTGAATCTTTTCTAAGCTTTCTTGGTTTCGCATGCTGGTTTTCTGACCATGCCGATCCCGCCGTCGTTGTCGTCGCCGGCGGCGGATGAATTGAGCAGCAACTTCAACTACGGGCCGGCGGGGAGGGCGATCGGGGTGGACCTGCTGAGCAACCCGGACCTGGTGGCGACGGACGCGACGGTGTCGTTCAAGACGGCGCTGTGGTTCTGGATGACGCCGCAGGGGAACAAGCCGTCGAGCCACGACGTGATCACGGGGCGGTGGGCGCCCTCGCCGGCCGACGCCGCGGCGGGGCGGGCGCCGGGGTACGGCGTGATCACCAACATCGTCAACGGCGGGCTGGAGTGCGGGCACGGCCCCGACGACCGCGTGGCGAACCGGATCGGCTTCTACCAGCGCTACTGTGGCGCGTTCGGCATCGGCACCGGCGGCAACCTCGACTGCTACAACCAGAGGCCGTTCAACAGCGGCTCGTCGGTTGGGTTGGCGGAGCAGTGACGACTGACGACGAGAAAAATAAAAAATAAAATGGAAACATTTGCACGGCCGCATCCGCATGTGCCGGTGAATTGAACGAGCTCCATCATGCATGATAGTTCAGTTCACGATGCTAATAATAAAGCTGGGCTATGAATAAATTAATCGTAGTATAGTAAATTGGTATAAATTGTAGGCGGTGGGATGTTTGGTTACAAGATCAACGGAACAATCGCGTGAAAGGAAACATAAAAACCCGGATACTGAGACAATTGCGAAAACTATTATAGAGAAGATTTAATCAACGTTGTAACGTTTAACAATAGAAATCACAATGTCAAGAAAATAATATGCTCCACATAAAAGAAGCGGAGTTTTAAAAAAGTGGCGACATATATATTATTAGTGAAAAATATGTTCATTTTTGGACCTTCCAACAGCCTCAATATTCGTGTTATATGAAGAAAAAAATTACTCGTAGTAGCAAGAGGCATCAAACCTGTGACCTCACTAAAATTTTTATATTTTGGTCCTTTTTGAAAACTTATTTTACAAATGAACCCCTGAAAAAACTTAAACCGGAAATGGTACTTTTTGGGGCGCCAGAGTGGCTGGCGCCGTCCTCCAATATGGCAGCGCCAGCCAATTTGGCGCCTTCCCCATGCCACCGTGGCACCAGGGCCTACGTGGGCTTGCTGACTCGGCAGAGCGGGGCGCCAGCCACACTGGCGCCGCCCCGCATAAGACGGCGCCAGCATGTCTGGCGCACCCCTCCTCTGTGGGCCCCACCAACTTTCTCCCCCCACTTCATTTTCGCCAAGTCTCTTCTGCCTCCGAGCAACGGCTGGCGCCCCCCAAGACGTAGTCCAAACCGACATATTATAACCAATGCATAACTTAAATTGTCCCAAAGCTACTACTCCACAAAAAATATTTAATCCACCTACAAATATCAACAAGTTTACTAGTGCATTACACATCGAAATATTACAAATACTCCGTCATACAATCCAACCTAGTTCTAATTAACTATAATCAATTTCTATAATGCAACCAAAATTTTCTCCCCTTTATATAATTAATAGTTAAAAATTTAACCTATAGGCTATAGCATCAAGTCCATCAAATTAAAATTACTTTCATGCCTCAACCCTAACTTTTCATCCATCCATCCAACCAAACCATCCAATAATTAACATTACCACATATATGGTTCAAAAAATCGTGACACCAATGAGTACATTGCAAACTTGTAGCACTACAACAAGCTAATCCCAAGAACAAATGCTAAAAATCACAAATTTGGGAAAAAAAAAGGGGTTCTAGGGTTACCCTCTGATCTACAAATTCAACCAATAAAAACGAAAAAAAAGAGGGGGGAATGGAGGAGTCTACCTTTCTCTTCGATTTCCACAAAAAAATCGCGCGAAAAACGGCTTCAAATTGAGTGGATTTGAGGTGGAGGGGTGAGGGGGAGAGAAAAGGGAGAAGAACTGCTGCTGCTGCTCGGGCTCAAGTCTGGCGAAAATGAGAGTGGGGAGGAGAAAGGTGGTGGGGCCCACGGGGTTTAAGGGCGCGGCCCACAGAGGAGGGGCGCGCCAGCATGGCTGGCGTCGTGGTGTGAGGGGCGGCGCCAGTGTGGTTGGCGCCCCGCTTTGCCCAGTCAGCACCGCCACGACAGCGCTAGTGCCACGGTGGCACGGACACGGCGCCAGTGTGACTGGCACCGCTATGTTGGGGGACGGCGCCAGCCACTCTAGCGCCCAAAAAGGACCATTTCCGATTTAAGTTTTTTCAGGAGTCTATTTATAAAATAAGTTTTAAAAAGGATCAAAATGTAAAAATTTCAGGGGCTCTACCATCCAAGCCAGCGCATATAACATTTGAGCAACCACCTCAGTTTTTAACTCACATCCAACTTACACATAACTTATATACAACTTACAGTAACTTACGTATACAATTACACTAGATTTATACTATAATTACATTTAACATAGTTTTTTTAAAAAATATATCGCCATATTTTTAGATAGACCGAGAAAGAAATGATAACATTGAGAACAAAAGGTGTCAGAGATGGACCAATATACTCCGTATGTGCTAGTGCTATACAAAATGTAAACGATAGCCACACCACTGGCTAACGTGCCATGTGCGAGTCCACAGATCCTGACGGGGCCCTCGGCGCTGTGTTGGACAAGCCGCTGGACGCAGGCCCAACACCTTATTTGGTGCCTTGGAGATGAACAGGCCGTGCTGGCCTTTGCTGGGTAGCCCTCTCTCTCCTTTACTGGGCTTAACACCCGAGAGAACCAACTTTTCTTCTTAGGAACAGATGATGAGCACTTAACCTAGGGCAAACTTCTTCCCGGATGTCCAACAATTTATTTACATGCATTGAAGAGAGATGTATGTTACATGGATGCCCCGTCCCCCGTGCCCGGTGATGTGGCTATAATCTCTTTTTTAAACATGTTATATTGTGCATGCCCTAATAAAAATGTTATATATTCATATAGTGACTAATTTTCACAACATGTAAGTTACTTCTTTTTTCAACCACTCAATCTATAGTGGGTGAAAAAAAGGGCTCGTTTAGCTGGCTTGTTTTTCCTTTTTGCGAGTAAACAACAAGAGAAGACTACTACTGTGATGCATTAATTAGATAATTGGAGTTGTAAATAAAGAGACTGTACAGGGGGAGAATATTACAATGTCAATCCATGATTGTCAAATTGGATGGTCTTGCACTTTTACCCTATGCAAAAGTAAACTCTTCCCTCAAAAGTAGCTTTAAATAGCTGAAAGAACATTGAATATTGTTGAAGATGAGGTCATTAATTTCTTCATTTCCGTATGTTTCGAAATCCAACAGCAATTACAATTCAATGAAAAATGGGTAGCCAAAATTGTGCTTTGCTGTTATCATCATATTCATAAATTCCTGATTTGTTAGTCAATGGATGCTAGTGAAAGACACGTCGAGTGACTGTACTCCGACTACGATATTTATAGGTATGGGGAAGTTGGAAACAAGGTATATGCGAGAATGTATCAAGAAGACAAAGAACACAAATTTATACTAGTTCGGGTCCTCATGGAGAGTAATAACCTGCTCTAGTTTATATGTATATATGAATAGGAATACCACACAAACTACAAAGAAGGAGCAGATGTCTAGTCTAATCTACCGACTAGACGCTATCCAAAATAGCCCGACGAGATCTATTCGATGATTAGGGTGTTGGCTTGCTCCGGTTTGTGTCTTGATGTTTAACTTGACACCCCTTCTAGGAAAGGGCCTTGTATTTATAGCTTGTAACTTGAAGAACTAGGGAAAAAATACGGTCTAAGAGACCTTATCTTTCCCGACTAAAACTCTGACACCTTCTATTCCGGGAATATATTATTTTTGGAGATAAGCCATATCTTATTAATTAAATGGCACCTACTCGTATATTACTGGGTATATGGTACGGTCATATTCCACGAACCCATGTATTGGAGGTGTGCCTTATCCTTGACTCTGACAAGACCACCATTGATTTGCGAAAGGACAGGTGACGAAAAGATGCATGCATCTTCTGGGAGAGAGGAATTGTAGAGCACATAGCTAAGTCCAGAGTTAACATTGATATTCTTCCTCCACAACATATCCCTTGTGTATAAACGATCCACCAGAAGAAGTCATGGAAAACTTTTAGCTTCATCATACACTTGCTCTTCCAGATGTAAGTGAGAGGTAAGTCCGGTTGGATATGAGCAAAAAAAGAGTGAATAAACTTATTTTGTTTCAAAGGTTGGACAATTCCATTTGTAACACCACTGATCATCTGAGTTGCCAAAGTTTTAGTTTGGAGACTAGGTCGTAGAATTTGCCATTCTTATACTGCTTGAGTGGATAGTGGTAGATAAAACAACTCATTAAGATTCTGATTATTATGAAAGCTGAAAACTGAAAGATCTTCATTTCTTGAATAAGGGAATAGAGTTTGAAAATGATCATCTAATGGGCTTCCATTTCAATTCCAATTGTCCTTCCAGAATGGAGCAGTATCTCCACTTTGAATTTTTATAACTATAATTGCTCTGAAGAGTATCGTTAACCCGGAAAATGTCTTTCTACCATAATGATCCTTTTTCTTTTCAAGCTTGTGCGTAGATCTGCATTGTGGTAGTATTTGTTCCAAATGAGCTACCCAAGATTGTTTCAAAATCTCTCCAATTTAATTTTGAATGAAATTTGCTTTCACCATATCTTGGCTCGTTAGCTCATTAACAAAAATAGTCTCAAATGATAGTAAAATATAACAAACTATAAAAAGTTGATTTCGAGGAAAGGTCAATGGTCAAATCATTTTTCCCCACTCACCAAACAGATCACACTTTTATATATCCTTTTTGTGAAACAGAGGATTCCAAACATTAGAAGTTTGTACCTTGGCGAGCTCCTACAAAAATACAAAAAATATATATACAAATGTAATAGAATATAAATGAACCCACATAAATAAAAAAAGAAAAAGAAAGTCACAACATTTTTTTTGCTAAAATTCTACTTTAAATTTAGGCTATCGTGTGGTTCAGTTTAATGCGTCAATTTCAGGCATTTTTTAATGTTGCTAACACTCGGCACTAGTACAGTTTGTTGATAACAAAGTGATCAATCAGTCCGCCGATTCACCTCTATCCCTCGCACGCACATTTTTGTTCTTATCGTAAGATTGATCTCGCGTGTATATCACCGCGCGCAACGTACGTTACTAATTGCCAGCAACACACGGTCGCTAATCACAATATATATTACATATATATATGTTGTGTTCTATCTCGTTTTAGTTCATCCTAACCTTACCTACCCAATGATAGATATATAAGTCCTTGCATTGGCGTCCATTACCGGTTCATTGACTAAACACAGGGAAAAATATGTGTTTTTCGCCTGTGCAAAACATCAATCACTCCATTTTAATCATATCACTCCAGCCTCCGGGAAACGCATGCATTTGATAATCCGATTTAGTACGAGGCTACGAGCCTAGGAGAATGGCTTTACAGCAATGCCGCCTAATTAAGTACACGGTGGTGTGGAACACGAGCTAGCATCGCGTCAATTCTCTCTTCTGTTTGCTGATATGAAGGGAGTACTCACTCCCTCCCAATATAAATGCAACCAATATGAATGTAACCTAAAATAGATATGTTACATATGTTAGGACTACAAATACAAACAGTCTGTTCCGATTCATAATCCTAAAATATATTATATCTGTCTTAAGTTATATATATTTATATTAGGAATTCGAAGGAGATATCTAGTACAAAGGAGCATCCATCCAGCAACAGGGACGCAGCCTCTGATGATGCAGCACCTAGCAATTGCACCTGCACGGCTCCACCGTCAGTCCAAAAAATAATCCTATGATGTGAAGATTTACTGTTAGTTCTTCATTGGTTTTTTTAACACATTAACAGTGTGAGGAAGATATGACAGCTGAAGTGATGATCATCGAGTTTGTCCAGCAACGAGAAATATATCAACAGAGGATCAGTTGTTACGATTCACTGAAGGGACGCCGGATCATTGTAAGTGTAATCATCCTAGTAACAATTTATGGAAGTGACAGTCGAGGCTCCGATAATTGCCATTGCACAATGTGCCATACTGACGTGATAAAAAAATTGGTAGAATTGGCCTGGGTTATAGTTTGTATCGAATATGTTTACTCGATTATAAATTAGGAATTGGAGTTTTAATAGATATAAAAACAATAGTAAGTCAGACTATGGCTCTCTCTTAAATAGAGAGACACACCTATTGTAACCGTATAGTGCTAGTAAAATAAATAGGTGAGTGACGATTGGTCAGCAGCCTAGCCAGTCGATGGTCGACGTGGATACTCTAATATGATGTAATTATATTATATTGGGTAGGAGCGCCGTAATTAGTGTTATGGGGACATAGGTGTTTTAGCTGAACCTCATTAATAAATATTGTGCTTATCGGTATCGTCATCATATTAGGACCCTCTATGATGTTCTTCTGCGTTTGGTTACCGATGTGCTATGGGGTTGGTTTTATAACAAGTGGTACCAGAGCTTGTGGGAGATGTATATATAGAGGCACGAGAGATGAGTCCCACACCACAACACTTTGTATATGTTGTCTTGGGAGGGACATGATGCAAGGTTGGAGCACGGCAACGATTAACGGAAATTGTTCGGTGGAATCGAACACTTCTAGCAATGGTTTAACCATTCGATGGATACTTTTAATTGGGAGGCGACTGGACATGGTGCTCGATTTAAAGGTGGCGGACGCGATTGGCGATCCAATAGGTGAAGAAGAAGGCATGATAATTTGTTGGACTAAATTGATGGCGGTTAATCGAAAATTGGAGCGCGGGTGAAACCTTTCCTAAGGGAAAGGTGCCGACAACAGGACGAACTGCCGCAAAACTGATACACATGGGCATGGCAAGTACGGAACAATTAGAATGATGGGCGTAGGTCGGACTTAAATGCACAGATTGTTTGGATTGGGCACAGGGAAATGTGCATCCTGCTATGGGCCATGACGTGCACATATGTGCATGTTGGGCCATCATTTGCGCATGCAGCACATGCATAACAATTAACATGGGGCATTACACGCATACGGCAGGGAAGCACAAACGTGTGGAGCCTCAGTTTGCACACACACGCGCGCGTCCCTCTGATCAGGCCGACAACGGAGATTGGAAGGCCGTACGTGCATGTTTGGTGTAGCTGGTATCTTGGAGAGTTGGAGGTGCCGAGATCACGGAGGACTCGATCTTGGCCGGGTTGGCGCGCTTGCGGTGCAGAGGCTACGGACTCGTCCGCTCGTGTCCTCTATCACAGCGCACGGGGCACGGAGAGGTGGATCGACTCAAAGTTCAACTCGAACACGAGAAGGGCCAGCGATCGATCGTTACTCCATGGTGTGATGTGAGTTCGATCATCGGCCTATACGATCAGCAAAGAACGGGATTGCAAATCATCAAGCAAATAGTACAAGGATTGTGAAATCATGGTTTAATAGAAAAAAATAAAGCTTCCTATAAGTGAAATGAAGAAGTAATTTTGACATTAGTGCTAATAACAATCAATTGTACAGATTTTTTTGTAAAGTATATAAGGAGAAATTTGAATACCCTTAGAAAGGATGATTTTGGGCTCAAGAATGCTTGTTTTTACACAAATAATATCACAAAACACATAATATAGCTATGAAATCATAAGTTCCAAAAAATTGGGGTACAACTATAGCTCATGTTTCATTGGCACACCCATGGTTTCTAAGGAACACCCGTAATCAGTGTCCCGAGATATAAATTTTAGCACAATCTCATTAGTAAATATCATATCTCGATGTGGTTAATTATCTTGGTGAATACTTATGACGTATTTTCGTGTTTAGTTACCGATGTTCTATAATAGCTCGCATGAGGTTGGAAGTAATCAGGCAACAAAATTAGTGTTCTTCAAGCAAGAATGGTTGTCAGTTTATCTCACTATGTGAAGATCGATCTGTGAAACTAAAATGAGACTTAACATTAACTCCAAATAGTTGCCCTTCATGATTGATGATGAGTCTAGCTACGTACTGTACTGCCCAGGCTGACAGCTGAGCGGTCACAATCAAACTAGCAATCACCACCAATTCCGTGCAGACGTGGACGAAGATGAAAAAACTCGAGCTCGCTAGCGAAGTCCATTCCGACTCGCCAGCCGTCTATAAAAGGCAGGCGTTACGCGCTATCGTCCCATCTCGAAATCAAGCACGAGGACTCCCAAGTCCAGCCATGAAAGCCACGACGACAGCAGTGGCCCTCCTCGTGGCCGCCGCGGCCATGGCGGCGCAGGTAGTCGCCGAGCAGTGTGGCTCGCAGGCCGGTGGGGCGCTGTGCCCGAACTGCCTCTGCTGCAGCTCCTACGGCTGGTGCGGCTCCACTTCCGACTACTGCGGCGACGGCTGCCAGAGCCAGTGCGACGGCTGCGGCGGCGGAGGTGGCGGCGGTGGCGGCGGGGGCGGCGGTGGAGGTGGGGGTGGCGGCGCGGTGGAGGCGGTCGTGTCGAAGGAGCTCTTCGAGCAGCTGCTGCTCCACCGCAACGACGCGGCGTGCCCCGCCAGAGGGTTCTACACCTACGACGCCTTAGTCACCGCCGCCGCCGCGTTCCCGGACTTCGCCGCGACGGGCGACGACGAGGCGCGCAAGCGTGAGGTCGCCGCGTTCCTCGGGCAGACCTCCCACGAGACCACGGGCGGGTGGGCGACCGCGCCCGACGGCCCCTACTCGTGGGGCTACTGCTTCAAGGAGGAGATCGGCGCCACGGCCTCCTACTGCGTCCCCAGCGCCGAGTGGCCGTGCGCCCCGGACAAGAAGTACTTCGGCCGCGGCCCCATCCAACTCTCCTAGTAAGCACATCAAAGCTAGGTTCAATTTTTTTTATCAAATTCTCAGCGCGATAAGAATGGTTTTGAACTTTTGATCGATCGATCTCTCAGCAACTACAACTACGGGCCGGCGGGAGAGGCCATCGGCGAGGACCTCCTGAACAACCCGGAGCTGGTGGCGTCGGACCCGGTGGTGTCGTTCAAGACGGCGCTGTGGTTCTGGATGACGCCGCAGTCGCCGAAGCCGTCGTGCCACGACGTGATCACGGGGCAGTGGACGCCGAGCTCGGGGGACATCGCGGCCGGGCGGGTGCCGGGGTACGGCGTGATCACCAACATCATCAACGGCGGGTTGGAGTGCGGGTTCGGCCCCGACGACCGGGTGGCGAACCGGATCGGCTTCTACCAGCGCTACTGCGACGTGCTCGGCATCGGCTACGGGAGCAACCTCGACTGCTACGACCAGAGGCCGTTCAACAGCGGGTTGACGGCGGCGCAGTGAACAGCTAGTAGCTTCGCCGGCGGCGACTGGCTGGCGGTAAAATAAGAGTGCTTTGCCACTCACTCCCTGTACGTGTCGTCGTACAAGTACGTACTTACAACGTACTAGTATCGAGTCGAAGTATGGTGTGTCATAAACTTGTAACCGGGCTGAAACCGATATATATGCATGTGGCACAGTGTCAGTCCAATATTTCAGAATAAATAAATGGACAACAAAATTCTCTTTTAATCATGCAGAAAAACTCTTATATCGAAGAAGCACTTCTACATAAATCGTCGCTGGTGCCGGTTAGGAACACACGATTTTTGCATGTGGTTGGGCCAGCCGCATGCGTGAAATGGTCTGCAAAGATCACCATCTTTCCATGCGGCCAGGGCACCCGCATGCAAAAATCCGCGACTTGCCCCCGCTCCCGCCGCCGCCGCCAGCTCCCGCTCCTGCCGCCCTCGATCACGATGGCCGCTCCCGCCTCTGGATCTGGGTGGGACGAGGCCTGCCGCCACCACCCGCATCGTCGTCGTCGTCGCCCACTCGTCGTCGTCGCCGGAGTCGGAGACGCCGCCAGATCCACGCGAGGGAGGGCCCCCTGCGTCGGATCCGCGCCGCCCAGCCATCGCTCGCTGCCATCCGCTGCCGCCGCTCACTCCCGGCGCCGGTTGCTCACTCCCGCTGCCGCTGCTCGCTCCCATCCGCCACCGCCGCCAGATCCGCGCGAGGGAGGGCCCTATGCACCGGATCTGCGCCGCCCGGCCGTCGCCCGCCGCCGCTCTCTCCCGGCGCCGGCGGCTCCCATCCGCAGCCGCCGCTCGCTCCCACCGCCTCCTCCTCGTCGCGGCCCACGCCGCCCGCTGCTCGGCCGCGTCGCCCGCCGCCCGCTCCCATCTGCCGCCACCGCTCGCTCCCACCGCCTCCTCCTCGTCGCAGCCCCCGCCGCCCGCCGCCCGCTCCTGCCACCTCCTCCTCGGCCGGGCGTAGATCGAGGAGAGAAAGAGAGAGAGAGGAAGAGAGAGAGTGAGAGAGAGGAAGAGAAAGAAAAATAGAGGGGGTGAGATATCAGAGAGAGGAGAGGAGAAGACATGAAAATTTTTGAAGTGGTGAGGAGGGAAAAAACTATTGATGTGAAGATATTTTTACATGTGGTCCACTTAAAATAGCCACATGCAAAAATAGATTTTTACATGCGCCTCCTTAGGTGGACCGCATGCGAAAATAGTTATTAAAAATTAATTTAAAAATGTGAGAAGTTCGAATCAAATTTTATGATATTAAATGAACTTATATGAAAATGTTGCCAAAAACAAAGTTGTAGAACTCGTTGAGATCTACCAATTTTCTTTTAGTCATTTCTTCATTCGAGTTTGATTGAACTATATAAAATTTAAATTTTAAAATATAAGAAATTCAAATAATTTTTCAGGTAGTAAATGATTTCAAATGGAAAAGTTGTCAAAAACAAAGTTGTATAACTTATTAAGATCTACAACTTTTGTATTGGTCATTTTTCTATATGACTTTGTTTGAACAGTTTGAATATGAATTTTAAATTATAACAACTTCAAACAACATTTTCAAATACTAAATGATTTTAACTGAAAAAGTCGTCAATAACAAAGTTGTATAACTCATCAAGATCTATAACTTCTATTTTGGTTATTTCTTTATTTGACAAAGTGATTTGTAAGATTGTTCACAAAATATACATCTCTTAAAAACTATACAAGAGATGTATATTTTGTGAACAATCTTATAAATCACTTTGTTGGATGAAGAACTTATAGATCTTGATGAGTTATACAACTTTGTTATTGATGACTTTTTTAGATGAAATCATTTATTGCTTCAAAATATTATTTGAAATTTTGAAATTAAAATTTTTAATTGATAAAACAAAGTCACAAGAAAAAATAGCCAATATAATACCAATAAGAACACAATAACATGATAGAGCATGATTTTAGAAACATTTAGAAAAAATATCATCCAATTTGAAGTTCATATGAGTGAGATACACTAGTTTCAAATTTTTCAATTTTTATTTTCACATACGGCTGCTTAAGTGGCCCGTATGAAAAAAAAATCAATTTTTCCATGCGGGCGCTTAAGTGAGCCGCATGCAAAAATGAGCTCATTTTTGCATGCGGCCCTCTTAAGAGGCCCGTATGGAAAAATCGATTTTTCCATACGGGTCACTTAAGCAGCCGTATGGGAAAATGACCCTCAATTTTTGTAGACGCCACTAGTTATGGTCCATTTGCAAAAATCATGGGGTCTCGTACAGAAAAATCACTTTTGTAGTAGTGGAACCCACAAAGGTGTCGGTTGAAAAACCAGCACCTAGATGTCGGCACTATGTGGAGGAGAAATAGGAGCCGGTTTAGGAACCGGTACGTTTGAGGTTCCACGAATAAAAAAAATCGTCTCGATTCAAACCGATGCATCAATCCGCTCTCCATCATCCTTATCAAACAAACACAATCAAAATCAACATTGAAATCATCCAATCACAAAAATAAAGAAAATTGCAAACACAAACACATGCCACCATCGCTGTCGTGGATCCGGCCACCCAGTCGCCAAAACGTCAATCCGACTACCCCCACCGTCGTGGTGGCTTGTGGCGGAAAGGAGGCCACACACGACCACGACGGAGAAGGCCGCGCCCCACCGCAGCGGAGAGGAGGAGAGCCGTCGGGGAGAAGGAGAGGAGGAGAGTTGCGTTGTAGGGAACCCGCCACCTCCCCTCCTGCCAGATTTGGCGAGGAGAGAGCTGCCATGGGGAGTCCGCTGTCGTTGCCCTGGGGAGCCGTCGCTGCCCGTGGGGTGCCTCAAGAGAGAGACCGAGAGAGAAGCACCCAAAGAGAGGTAAAATAAAGAAGAGAGAGAGAGAGACCGCGAGTTGATAGAGGCGACCGCTCCTCCCCACTCCCCAGCCTTATCCTCTCGACCGCTCCTCACCGCTCACAACTCGGCTCATGGCTCAATTTTTACGGGTGTTGGTCTTTTAAAAAACCGGCACCTATATATATTATAGGTATTGCTTTTTAAATTGCTGGCACCTATGATAAATTAAAGGCGTTGGTTTTAAAAACCAACACCTATAGTATTGGGATCGGTTTTTCTATAGAAGCGACACCTAAGTCGCTTAAATGTGTCGGTTTATCTTGGCTTTTTTTCGCTTACGCGCAAAAGGATTACACGTCAATATATTAGAAGAAAAGAGTTTTAGTTACACAACGCAATCAACCAGATCGGCCTATGCCAGGGGAAGGGAGAAAAGGCAAAATAAAAAACCGAAGCTTAGAAAACTACGACGGCTAAACCCTAACTCTAAACAGTGGGAAGGGGCCGAGCCATACTACACTCCCCTGAAAGCGGTAACGCCAGCTTAAAAACCACATGTAGCCCTCCGAGTGGATTGAATGTTTTTTTTTTTTGCTTTCGATGCCATAGAGGTGTGAAAAGGATTTATAGGTACCGGTTTTAATAGTTCCGTCACCTATAGTGTCGATCTATATGTGTTTTTTTAAGTAGTGGAGTAAAATAACCAAGCGACCATACCGAGTAAGGATTATAAGTTCGCATATCTGAACTAATCATCTCCCTGCTCCGGCACAACGGAGATGAGAGCGCTACACATGATGATTGCACTATCTTATTCCATTTTAATCATATCATTCTGGGAAAAGCATGCATTTGATGGTCCGATTTCGTACGAGGCTAGGAGCCTAGGAGAACGGCATTTCGGCAACGCCACGTACGCCGTCGCGTAATTAAGTGCACGGTGGTGTGGAACACGAGCTAACGTCGCGGCAATTATTTCCTCTGTTTGCTCTTGCTGATATGCAAGCGAGTAATACTCTCTCCGTCCCAAAATAAGTACAGTTTTAGCACTATTTATATCCAATATTTGACCGTTCGTCTTATTTGAAAAAAGATTATGATTAGTATTTTTATTGTTATTAGATGATAAAACATGAATAGTACTTTATATGTGACTAATTTGTTTAATATTTTCTATAAATTTTTCAAATAAGACGAATGGTTAAAACACTGAACACGGATATCTATGGCAACACTTATTTTGGAATGGAGGTATTACAACGACTACTAGCATCCGGCAACAGGGACGTAACCTAGCTCTGATGATGCAGCACCTGCACCGCCAGTAGGAACAATAATCGTATGATGTGAAGCTTTACTGTTAGTTCGTACCAATTATCATCGTTTTTTAACACATCAGCAGTGGGAGGAAGATATGACAGCTGAAGTGATCATCAAGTTTGTCCAGTCACGAGAAATCAACAGACGCTCCCTTAAAAGAAAAAAAAATCAACAGAGGCGTCGTTACGATTGGCTGAAGGCATGATCATCCTAACTAGTAGGTGATACCCTAAGCTTTGCCGTGTGATTCATGGATAAGTATATATTAAATATTATCAAAATGATGAAAGTTGAAATGTTAAAAAAATAATGTGAGGAAGATGATTTGACACATATTTGTTGATTTCTAAAATATATACTCCCTCCGTCCCACAAAATCACGAATCCTGGAGGGGGAGGTTTGTCAAAAAAAACTCTCTCCTATCATTTTGACCACAGAAACCTTATCTCCTCGGCTTTTCTCGTCTCGTTCTCTTCTCCCTAAATCGCATCGCTCTCTCTTCCCCCAAATCACGCCCAGATGCGACCTCCTGCCTCCACGCCTTCCTCCCCGCAAATCCCTCCCCTCTCCACGCCGCTCCCCCTCACTCCCTCCCTGCCTTCCTCCCCGCACATCCCTCCTGCTCAACGCGGCGGCGGCGGCTGGCGGGGGAGGCGACGAGCGGACGCCGGTGTTCTTGCGTACATGTGGCCTCGGCGGCAGCGGTGACGAGCGGACAAGGCATTGGCGGCGACAAGCGGACGCGGCCTCGTCGGCGGCGGCGACCGGCGAACACGGCGGCGGCGGCGACGAGCGGACACGGCCTCGTCGGGGTTCTTGCTAGTTCATTCGTTAGGGTTGTTGCTAGTTCTTGTAGTATCTTTTTTTCTCTATTCTTGGCTCTGTTCTTCATTGACAGCTGCGAGGCTCCACCAGTCCACCTCCCCACACCTCCCTCCATTGTGTTGAAGGCTTTGCTACGCGACGGCGGCGGTGGAGCCTTGCATGCGTGTGGTATGCTGGTATGTGGCCGATGCTTGCTTTGCATGCTGATGGATGTGGCTTGCTCGGATGCAGCTATTATGGTGGAAGGGGATTGACGATGGGAAGGACAGCCACAAGGAAATTCATGCTTGTCTTTTTTTTACCGTTAATTAATGGTTGTACTTTGTACTTTGGTGAGAGCATACTAGTCTTTTGTCACTGCTGCTAAAGTCACCTTGGGCTTCTAGGAATCGTGATTTTATGGGACGGAGGGAGTATATTATAGATGATGTGTCATGCACTCATGCTTGCATGGGATTTAAAATATGCTAGAATTAGTAATTGCTAGTAAGTGAAGATGTGGCATGTTGTTTGCATAGGATTTTAAATGAGATAGAATAGTAATTGCTAGTGGGTGATGATGTGGCATGCTTGCATGTTGAGTTTTAGCTTCTAATAGTTGTTAGTGGGTATCAACTATATAGAAAGTATAGATTTATGGAACAGTGACAATCGAGGCTCAGATAATTGTCATTGCGCAATGTGCCACGTGGACATGATGAAAAAATGATACGATACATAACCGGTTACGAATTAGGACTTACGAATTAGGACTTAGAGTTGTAATAGGTATAAAACAATAGTTGAGTCGGATTTCGTCTTAGGGTCTCTCTTAAATAGAGAAACACACATGTTATAACCATGTGATGATAGTAGTATAAGTGAGGGATGACCGGCCTATGACCTTGCCAGTCGATAGTGGTAGATATCTTGTTACGCTGTAATTATGCTAGATTGGGAACTAGCGCACTTAATCAGTACTTCGGGGACGTAGACTTTGGTTGCACCCCATTAACAAATATTGACTCAGTCATTATTGTGTTTGGATCTTCTATGACGTTCTTTTGTGTTTGCTTGCATATATGATGTCGGGCTGGTTTTATATCCAGTGGAACAGAGCCGGTAGTATATCCATGTATAGGTAATGAGCCGAGCTGGCTCGGCTCGTGAAAGCTTGGTGTAAGGGAAGCTCAGCTTGGCTTGGCTCGCTACAAACAACGAGTTAAAACTGTAGCTCGGATTGGCTCGTTAATGGGCTCGAGCCAACTCGAGCTGGCTCGCGAACCTGGCATCAAGTAAATCTTAAGTAGGGTCTAAGAGAAATCGAGCAACATTTTACCATATAGAATGTGTAATAAAGTGATATTTTTCTTTAACATGTCATCACAACACATAAAATAGATAATATGACAATCAAAGTTATCATTTTCAACAAATAAATAGTAAGAAAAGGTGCAAAATTTTGTATGACTCTATTGTACTGAGCCAACGAAGCTCGCAAGCAGCTCGTGAGCCAGCTCGGGCTTGGCTCATTTTGGAAACGAGCTAGAAAGGATGCTTGGGATCGGCTCGTTTGGCTTTCGAGCCGAGCCGAGCTATGCGAGCCCGAACTAAGCCTGAGCTGAGCTAACGATCTCAAGCTTCTTGTCCATCCCTATCCATGTATAAAGGTACGAGGAAGGTGCCCCACATTGCAACTGTCGAAGAAGCGGGAATGAGGGTTCCCACTTCATCGGATGTCTCGTCGTTGGTCAGACATGACATTCAACATTGATTGGAACTGGATGATCGGTGAAGTCGAACAGTCTAGGCGGGGTGGCTATTGACGCAAAATCCGTTCCAACACGCAAAGGCTAAGAGATTTGTTTGACTATAGTGCACGTCCTTAATATTGGGTTCAGGGCGTGCTAGTTGGAAGTTGCTTCCCCTGAAGTATTTTTTTCCCCTTGATTTTCCAACTGCGTGTGCAATTTTGACCATGATGCAAGCAAAGTGCAAACAAAGTGTATTAGAAACACATAATTTTCTGGTAGTTCGTTTTGGAAACAGGATTTGCTTCTTGTCTTCCAAATTGCCAACAGAACAGACAAACAAATGCAGATGTAAATGCAGATAATCGCTGCATGAGTTTGGGTTTGGCATGCATGATGCATCCATATGAACCTGAACATTCAGGACAAAAGAAGGGCAAATTGTGCCATTAATCTCAGAATCTAAAACAGGATTCAGATTGCAATCAGCTTACCGGTTCCCGTACGTTTGCATAATTGCATGTACCGACAAGTTCACCAATTTTGCGTACGCAGGGCGTGAGCCTGAATTTCATATCACTAGCCGAGGGGATCACCATGCATGCCAGGGTGTTCTTCCTGCACGGTAGCGTGTCGTCCGTCGCGTGGGTGTTCGTGTACCTGCGGTCGCCGGTGACGAGAGGCCAAGGCAGGAATGCAGGATGCGGCGCGCTCCGGTGAGTCATGCGGTGGTGGGGTTCGGAGAATAAAACTCCGAATCCCTTCGAATCTCTTGGCTACCGTGATTCGCGGCCTGCGCGGTCCAGACGAGCTGAACTGCGCCCCGATGCAGTGTAACAAGCGATGGCTAGTGACTAGAGTAGTGTGTCCACGTCCACCGACGTTGTTCAGGGATTTCGCACAACGCACATCGAACATTTTCAGGGACAAGGTGGCATCACCTTCACTCCTTCAGGCTCCAATGCTCCATGGGTGCAGCCATGCAACTCTAACCCTATACCACTATTCGGGAAATTCTGAATCTCTTCGGTAGTAATAAATTCTTTGATTAAAAAATGCGTAAGAAAGCTGCAGGTTATGCTCGTTTTGCTTATCCGTTAATTGACCTTTGGTTTGATCAGGGTCGCATCGTTGTTCTGAACTTCTGGTGCAGTTTGCCTGCATTGTTGCGCGCGGTTTTATTAGTTTTTTTTTTTTTGAGGGGCAAAGGGCAGGAACTCTGCCAATTTCATTTCAGGAGAAAAGAGATAGAGTTTATACAATCATTTTATTAGTTAATTAGTTTCGTTAATAAGAACAGTTCATGTCAGTTTGAGTAATCGTGGGATCAGATTTTAGTTGATGCTGTTTTCTGGCCAATATGCATTTGCTTCATGTTGCTGTTCCTATCTGCTTGCTCAAGGATGCTAAAGTTGATATATCGGAGAAATGTTTAGTAGCAGGCTTAAGCCATGCCAAATTCAATCGTTATTCGTTAGTACTACACAAGTAAATAACGACGTCAAAGAGGGAGGTACATGAAATTCTTTATCTACCTACAAAGTAAAAAACCACATGAGAGAGACAAGTGTGTGAATTCATATCTATCATACAAAGAGATCTAGGTTGCATTTCTTCATATAGATCCTGTCTCATCCTGGGTAGTTGTAACGCAAACTTTCCAACGAATCAAACCAGAGCACGGCTCGATCTGGCTGATGCATGTGTGACATCGAATCCCCGGAAACAAAGACGATCGTTTTTACTACTGTTCTATCTCTTCATCTAGTTTAATTAATGCCCTGTATATTCGATCGTGCATCCATGTATCAGTGGGCTCAGTTAAACAAAGCAGACGCAGGCATGCAGGAGATGAAAACGAGCAACGCACCCTCGTGCTGCCCGAAAGACAGTGTACTCTCCACACTGGCATGACTCATTTCTACGGGTGAAAACAGAGCGGATTCAGACGAATAATGGTCATACCATATCCTAAACCAGGATTCAGAGTGGGTGCGGATAGGATACGGATGCGCATGCGGAGCGGATTATTTCGGATGTCGGAAATAGTGCGGAATCAGTTCGAAAAAGATTAAATTTATCGGATATTACATGTGTATACAATCAATACAATATTAAGTTAGCAATGCAAGAAACAATAATACAATAATCAATAAACGATCCATCATACTAATTATGTGCTTAAGTGTTAAACAATATGAATACATGATGTCCATAATATAAAAATACAGCTACGCAAGTATGCCATGAGAAGGTGAAAGCCTCAGACTAAGAAATCTATGCTAATTGATAAATTAGTGCATTCGATAGACCAACTTATGTTATATGCAATAGATAGAGTGATTACATGTGTTGATAAATTCGAATTATCCGGCAAACGGCCAATCGGATAATCCGATAGAAATGTCGGATAATCTGCATCCACCGGATTTTAGAGATACCATATCCTCATCCGCATCCGCATTATACTATCCTCATCCGCATTCATATCCGCCGGATTTCCAAAAGCCCATACCATATCCTCGTTTCGAACGGATTCAGAGTGGATCGGATCTATCCGATCGGTTTTCACTCCTACTCATTTCACACAAGATGAGGCCATCACCTTGCATAACCGATTTTACACAAGCTAGATGAGGCCATGATCTCCTCTATATAAGAGGCCATGCAGTCTGTGGCTTCATCACTCACCAGCTACGTACACTCAACCAACACACCACTGAAAAGCAAGATTTTGTTGAAGAAATAAGCATCTTGCCATGATCGCAGCAAGGGCTGCAAACCTGCAGGTGGCCATGAAGGCCCTGGCGCTGGCCGTGCTGGCCCTCGCCTACGCCGCGGCGACGGCGCGCGCCGAGCAGTGCGGCAGGCAGGCCGGCGGCGCCCGGTGCCCCAACAGGCTCTGCTGCAGCAGGTGGGGGTGGTGCGGCCTCACCGACGACTACTGCAAGGGCGGCTGCCAGAGCCAGTGCCGCGTCTCCCGCGACGGCGGCGACGACGACGTCGCCGCGGTGCTGCTCACGGCGCCGGGCGGCGGCCGCGCCGGCGTGGCGTCCGTCGTGACGTCGGACCAGTTCGAGCGCATGCTGCCCCACCGCGACGACGCGGCGTGCCCCGCCCGCGGGTTCTACGCCTACCGCGCCTTCGTCGCCGCGGCCGGCGCGTTCCCGGCCTTCGCCGCCACGGGCGACGCCGACACCCGCAAGCGTGAGGTCGCCGCGTTCCTGGCCCAGACTTCCCACGCGACCTCTGGTAACGTAGTAACGTTTACTTGTCACGTTGGAACTCACGTGTACGTACACATGTCTTATGCACGAGTGCGCATGTGTCCCTGCAGGTGGGCCCTACTCGTGGGGCTACTGCTACAAGGAGGTGAAGGGCGCGACGTCAGACTTCTGCGTGCCGAACGCGCGCTGGCCGTGCGCGCCCGGCAAGGCGTACCACGCCCGCGGACCCATGCAAATCGCATAGTAAGAGAACGCAAAGGAGCAAACCAAAACGTCCATATAAATGAACTTGCAAACAAAAAATCCACAAAATGGACGAACACTAGAAAAATCTTAAAATGCAACGGGATTTCATCCGTGAAACGTTCAATTTCGAGACTAGTACTATTTGGACTGAACAAATGACAAACTACTGGAATCTAATTTTCAAATTCAATTTCAGCAACTACAACTATGGGGCGGCCGGCGAGGCGATCGGCGCGGACCTGCTGGGCAACCCGGAGCTGGTGGCAACGGACCCGACGGTGGCGTTCAAGACGGCGCTGTGGCTGTGGATGACCGCGCGGTCGCCGAGCCAGCCGTCGCCGCACGCCGTCGTCACGGGGCAGTGGACTCCGACTCCCGCGGACAGCGCGGCCGGCCGCGCGCCAGGCTACGGGCTCACCACGAACATCCTCACCGGCGGGCTCCAGTGCGCCGGCGGCAACGGCGGCGCCGACCGGGTCGCGTTCTACAAGCGCTACTGCGACGTGCTCGGCGTCGGCTACGGGCCCAACCTGGACTGCTTCGGCCAGGCGCCGTTCGACGGCGACATCATGTCGGCGTCTGCGGCGAAGTAGACGTGTGCGCCGCCGTGCCGGCCCCGATCGATCGAATAAAATTGCGTGTGAGTACGCACTTCGCACGGTCGCTCTGCAGCCAGAGTGAGTGAGTTTGCTTTATGTATTTTTCGGTTTCGGGCGAGGAATTCTTCATGGATCTGTGAAAGCCCATATGTATGCATGGTCATGGCATGAATAAAGTAGTACTGATCTTCTCGAATACGGAATTATGGATCATGACTCACACGGTTAGGTATCAGTCGACGAAAAGCAATCTCACAAGAACGCATGCATATATATTTCATTGTCTCCTACAGCTTGTTCTTGCCAGCGGCCGTCCAATATTATGGAAGAGCCGAAGAAGAGTGTAGCAACAATTAAACAGAAGACGGAGCCAATGGACGATGGACACTCTTCTCGTCGAGCCGCACTCCGCTTTTGACCTCGGTGTACTTCGTCTTTTGATAGATGTTAGTGTACTTATGTTGTTTTTTTTAAAGTATTTTTACAACCATTTTACATTGAATTTGACAAAAATATTACACGTAGGGATGAAAACGGTCGGAAACGGTCGGAAAAACCCTCTACCATTTCCATTTTCATTTTATTTTCTCGAAAATGGAATCGGAACGGTATACTCGGAAACGGTAACGATATCGGTAACGTCAGTATATCGGAAACGGAACCGTCGGAACGGGAATCTACCGATATTGTTCGGAAGTCGAAAATTCATGTCGGAAACAGTGAACTGTGGTATCATCCCATATTTAACTGTGGTATGTCTAAAAAAATACTCAAGGCTTAAAAGTTGTACATCTACTAAAATCATGCTTGCACATCAACAGAAAATCGTGCTCAAACACATCAAGGCTCAGGCGTTCCACATTCATCTGTACATGTAAAAAAATCATGCTCAAGCATTCAAGCTATACACTTATACCTGGTGGACCTGGCAAACCTGGCAACAGTGGCAAACTCAATGTTCCTCGTCTCTGTTGTTGCTTTCAGATGGATCCAGATGGATGCGGCGTTTTTCTCCGGCAGGCGCCATCTTGCTTCTCCGGCAAGGGACGCGGCGAGGCACAAGGATACGACGGCTAGAACTAGCAAGCGGCGGTGCGGCGGCGGCGGAGAGCTGTGCGAGAGTCACGAGACAGGGAGTGGATGAGAAGGAGAAGTGACACGCCGGCTGACGCCCTATGGGTTTTCTTCCCGGCCTAAATGCCTAATGGGCTGCTCCTGTCTTGCTCCTGCTAGCGAGGCCCAGCCGGCTTCCTTCTTCGGAATTTTGTCGGAAATTTGACGGAAATTACCGATAAAAAACAGTTACCGACAAAACGGTCGGAAAAAACCCCATCCCATTTCCGCTACCATTTTCGAAAGAGATTACCGTTTCTATTTCCGATACTGACAATTACCGATACTGACTGAAACGGTCGGTGCAAACCGGAAACGGTAGCCAGAATTCTCAGAAATTTCCGTACCGTTTTCACCCCTAATTACACGAGGGGATGTTCCTCGAGGAATTAGAATCCTCTTCCAAGATTAACAGGCTTTGATTCGTATACGTTTACGTACGTACACGACCTGGCCGGTATACGTTACAAACCAACGCAGCATTGCAGCAACGAGACATATTCTATAAACAACGACTCCTAAGTAGGTACTCATCCTAATTAAACCATGAACAACAAGATTAACCCTAACAACTGCGACCAGCGACCCGTCTAATGATGGAAGGACCGAAGAAGAGTGTGCCAACAAAACCGAAGACGAAGGCAATGGCGGCTGCAGCCTCCGGCCTTCCGAAGAGGACACCGAGGTTAAAACCGGAGTGTGGCTCGACGAGATCGGGGTTATCGGCGAAGGCGTCCGCGGAGAAAGAGGCCGCTAGCTTAGGCGGGATATCGCCGTCCAGGTTGTTGTTAGACAGGTCTAGCGACTTAAGGTGACCTAGGAGCACAAGGGAGGCGGGGATTTTTCCCGAAAGGGAATTCGCCGACAGCTTCAGCGAGTTGATGAACTTGCAGTTGGCCAGCTCTGCGGGAATTGGTCCGGAGAGCTGGTTGCCGGAGAGGTCGAGGTTGACGACGAAAGGGAGCCAGTCGCACAGTGCGGGAGGAATTTGTCCCCCCAGCCGGTTGGAGGAAAGGTCGAGGGTTGTGATGGCGGAGCAGAACTGGAGCTCAGAGGGGATAGCACCGGTGAGGCCAAAGCCAGAGAGCGAGAGAGCAATGATGCGAGACTCGTCGGGGTTCCAGCACGAAACTCCCGAGAGCTCGCAAATGGCACCGGCGGAGGTGTTTGAGAAGGTCCAGGAGGCGAGGCGGCCATCCGGGTCGCCGAGGGATGTCTTGAGGCCCTCGAGACAGCGCACATCATCTTCTCGTGGTGTGCCGCTCTGTGGATGGACGGAGGTAGGGAGAGTCAAGGCCACAGTTAGGAGGAGGAGCTGGACGAGGTAAGGCATGGCACGGTGGTATATGCAAGTATGCAACCGATGAACCAAGCTAGAGCTCCGACTCCGAGCAAGTGAATATCAAATTACTGTTCTGTGTTAGCTTGCGATTTGCGAGCTACTCGCTACGGCTCGGATGTACGCTCGGTATTATAGGCAGAAACCATGACTTGATGACTACCTCCGTCACTCGGGCTTAAGAGAATCTCCGCGTGCAGGTCGCAGCTATCAGCCTATCAAATGGATACAAATCAATGGTCATACCGGAAAACAGAGCTGGGATAATCGTCGTACATCTTGGTTCCTTACCCTAATTTCTTTATTAGTGGGGAACTGGGGATACTGCAGAGATGTTGAAAAGTCGTGTGAATAAATGCGGTAAACACGCGGTCGACGACTGACCCCCCGGAGTCGTTGCGTTCAACAACGTGCGTACTCAAGGGGTGTTTGGAAGAGAGCTCTCCAAAAATATAAGTCGGAGTAATTTTTTGGTTTAGTCCCTCTCTTTTAAACACCCCTTGATAAACTAGCTTAGATTTACCTAACCTTTTTTTCTTTGACCAAGATTTTGATAATGCTCCTTCCTGGGCGCTCGGGGGTAGGAAAAATCGGACGCCCCCATCACATCTTTCCTGCCACACTGTCACTTATCCCCACCACACATAACGTTGCAACAAATTACCTATATATTTTCTAAACCCTTTATTAAGGGAATTGGTTTTATTTTTTTTCACAGAAAATGTTTCACCTAGTGTACTCACAATGTTTCACTATGTATAGATCTAATGTTACAGTGAATTAAAATATTCTTTTGCAACAAATCACCCACATATTTTGAAAACTCTCTATTAAGGGAATTTGGTTTACTTCTTTTTCCACCAAAAATGTTTCACCTAATGTACTCACAATGTTTCACTATGTATAGATCTAATGTAGCAGTGAAGTGAAATTTTCTTTTGCATTCTTTCGCTATTTGCTGAAACATTCTTTTTATATAAGGTGAAACAACATCCGATTTAAACGAGTGAAACATTTTCGATCAACTTAGTGAAACAATTCCGATATATCTAGTGGAACATCGTGCAACATTTAAAAATAATTCAATAATAAGCTAAAAAAATTTCGTCGGAATATATCCATGTGTGGTCTTGTTTTGAAGATTTAATTGCAACGAAATTAATGTTGCAGTCAAATTATGATTTGGATAAGTAATTTAAGAGAAAAATCAGTTTAACGTAGATTTGCACGTAAATCGGGCGCTGACGTCAGCGCCCGATTTTTCTCCAAACCGATCAGACGCCCGACCCGTAGACTTATCCCTAAGATTTACCTGACCCTCATCATGTAATTAACCAAGAGAGAACTAAACATACACAAGAGTGAAAAAGACTTTGCATGCAGTAGTCACACGCTGACACATGGCGTGCTCGGTTAGGCCAGTAGCAATGCAAGCTACTCACTTGAGGAACCTAAAATGCCACGTAGGCTAAAAAGCACCGTGTCCAAGTTTTGATTCCCCCACAGTGCAAATGGCCTCATGGGTGACTTTGATTTTCCGTTTCAGCCCCTATCACTTTTGATTTCAGCCCTCATATTTTGATCAATTTACAAATAAGTATAAATTTTACATTGAACACCTTACAATGGAGAAAATAATACAAAATCTCAACCCTAACCAGGCACCCACACTACCCCTCTCCACTTTCCCCGCCCACACAACCCATCCGAAGCTTCACAGGCGACGCTGCCGCCTCCGGCCTCTCTCCACCTCGGTGACGAACTCCGCAGCCGGCGGCCTCTCCCCTCTCCCCCACCTCGACGATGAACACCGGCGCCGCCGGATGTCGAGGAGATCGACGCGGTGGCGTGGATCCAGAGCGCCGGCAGTCGAGGATGCCGAGGCGGCGGCGTGGATCCGGAGCAACGGCGGTTGAGGAGGCCGACGCGACGGCCTGAATCCGGAGCGACGGCACGGATTTGGAGGGCGTCGACGATGATGACTCGACGACGGCGGCACGGCAGCGCGGATCTGGAGGACGTCGACGACGGTGGCACGACAGCGCGGATCTGGAGGGCGTCGACAACGGCAGCGGCACGGCGGCGACCCCAGCTCTGATCTCCTTCCACGCCCGGCGTGGTCGTCCTCGCTTAGAGACCGCGACCGACGACATCTCCCCACCACTGTCGTCGCACTTCTCTTCCGGCCGTCCTCTGGCTTCTCCCCTTCCTCACCGGAGGCCGGACTCGGTAGTGTGGCCGGCGAGCTATAAGCCCGTGCGAATCGCGTGGATGCTGACGACCAACGACGGAAATCGGATTGGGGAAGAATGGTGAGGATTGGGGAGGGGACCGCAGAGCGCAGGCACGCACGGTTTCTCTTTTGGGCGTAAGGAAACCAGATCCTAGCTAGGATGTACAAAACCTTGCAAAGACACGGGGCCCACTGCTTTTTCTCCTCCACATTAGATTTTGGCCTAGCTGGAGAACTAGGTAACACTCCAACTCACTGCATTATGAAGGGCCTTAGATCTCGCATGCCTGGCGTGACTCAAAGCGGAAACGCTAATTAGCGCATACGCGCTAGCTTTCTTACTACCGCATGGTTTGGCCCACAGGCCCAGCTCGTCCTTTATTGTCGTGTGAGCAGGCAAGTGCCCATGAGGCTGACTCCGCATGCTACCTGTTGGAAAAAGTACACCGAAGGTCCCTCAACTTGTCATCGGGACAAAAAAACGTCCTCGAACAACAAAACCAGATATGCGAGGTCCCTTAACTATGTAAAATCGGTCACCCGAGGTCCTTCGGTGGTTTTGACCCCGGTTTTGGTCTACGTGGCGGCTGAGTTAGTGTGGGACCCACGTGGGCCCCACATGTCAAGTGTCCACGTCAGCCTTCTTTCCCTCTTTCCCCTCTTCTCTCCCTTCCTCATCTATCTCTGTCTGTCTCTCTCTCTCTCTCTCCCTCCCTTCCTTCATCATCTTCGTCAACGTCGCGGCGAACCCACGGCTTGGCGAGGCCGCGCTCCGGCGGGTCGGCACGTCGGCGGCGGTGGTGGACCGGCTGGTGAAGATGCTCACCTGGAACGGCGCCGTACTCTGAGCTGGTGCCAGCCCATACCCCTCCGCTTCATGCCCCCTGAGCACCACATCGGCGCCGCACTTCTCGCCGTCGTCGCCAAGATGGTACACATGCACCTCATCCACACAGGTCTTGGTAGCCACCATGTACCGCCTTTGCGGCATGCAGCGGGCACGGTTGACCTCGCCCTTGTGCGGCACCGAGCGGGAGATGGACACGGACGAGGCTGGGACGGCACCGCCCGCCGCCGTGGCCCCCGCCGCTAGGTGGGGCGAAAGCGGGAGGGCAGCGTCGGCGAGCAGGAGGTGTTTGGGCGTCTCGTCGGAGGTGTGGGTTCCGAGGATGAGGCGGTGGGAAAGGGTGGAGTCCGGTGACCGGGAGTGGGAGGGGAGCCACTAGACGGTGAGCTACGGCCACTTGAGCGGCTGGGAGATGACGAGGTCGTAGAGCACCGGCGCGTTCTTTTTCTAGCTCTGGTGCTCCTCCATCTCCTTCGCGGACGACCTCGCCGCCGGTGGTGGCGGTGACGTTGAGGAGGTTGGAGATCGAGACGGCGGAGGCGTAGAGCGGTAGGGAGGAGCGGAACACGAGGTAGGCGTCGCAGGGCCCCGCGGCGGCGGCGGAGGTGACGTCGTACTCCTACCACGCCGCGACGATGAGGAGGACAAGGGAAAGGACGAGCGCGAGCACGGCACCGCCGCCACCACCACTCAGCCCTGTCGTCCAGCCGCCGACGCCTTTGTTGCCGCTCCACCATTGGCAAGATTCAACGCGGGAGATTCACACGATGCCCATCGTTTCGGGCCGTTTGAGCCGACGTTGTTTCGGGCGGCCGGCCGCCGGACCTCCTCCTCTCCCCTCCCCCTAGCAGCCTCCTCCCCACAGCACCGCCCGTCGCTGGCCTGAGAAAAGTGAAAGAGAGAGAAATGGAGAAGAGGGGGGAATAAGAGAGAGGAGATGAGGTGGCATCCTGACATGTGGGGCCCACATGGGTCCCACGCTGACTCAGCCACCACGTAGACCAAAACCGGGGCCAAAACCGCCAAAGGATCTTGAGTGACCGGTTTTGTATAGTTAAAGGACCCTGTATATTTGGTTTTGTGGTTTGAGGACGATTTTGTATCCCGATGACAAGTTGAGGGACCTTCGGTGTACTTTTTCCGCTACCTGTTCCAATGAAGCCACGTGGTCTTTCTTGGCCCACAACTCTTGTATACATCTTTTTTTTCTAATCAAGTGATTTGATTGTGCATTTCTTTTAAAACTTAAACATGTACAATTTGTTATAATAAAAAATGATAACATTAGTACAAACTTCTTAAATTTTAGTTGAAACTGAAATATTTTTCATTTCAAAATTTGAGTTGAAAGTTTTTTAAATTTTAACTTGAAAGATTCAAATTCGACTTGAAATTTTTCATAATTTGAGTTGAATGTTTGAAATTTTGAGTTGAAAGTTTTTTAAACCAATTTTTAATCAAGAGTTAGTAGTTTTTAAATTTAAGTTGAAAGTTTAAAATTTTGACTTAAAAGTTTTTTATTTAAATTTGACTTTCAACTTAAACTTTAATCAGAAAACTTAAAATTTGAAATTTCCATCTCAATTGGTTATTTATTATTTTATTATGAGAAAATTTTTAGACTCATCATTAACGCTAAGCGTGACTAGTGCTTGTCGACGTTTGATGTTACGACTACGGTATTTGGACAGTATAGGGATCGTTGGTACTAGGATATACGCGAGACTGAGGTAAAAGAGACGGAGACGAGGATTTTTATACAGGTTCGGGCCCCTGAATTGTCAGGTAATAACCCTACATCCTGTTGGTCGGAGCCGATATTGCTCTTATTCATGATAATCACACCAATACACTATTTGGGGTAGCCTATCTAACTATTGTCGACATGGCGGTCTGATGATCTGACTCGTAGTCGAGAACAGGGTAGCCTTTCTCCTTGAATCCGTGCCCGGCGAGATCAGAGATAGCGCTTTCGTCTCTCCTGAGGGTATCCGGAGTCACCGTAGGGTACTAGCCGTGCTTATCCCTGAAGTCGA